CTACTTTCGAGTAATAGTCTGGCTGCCTACAGCTCCAGACGTTTGAGATACTTGAAATACTTGGGCTGGCTGCAGTGCCACGCTCATCAGCCCATACGACGACTTGCGCCTCTTCTAGGAATGACCGGTATTTCAAAAATCAAGATGTCTGTGCGGAGATGGCCACTGGGCTCTGACGAGACACTCAATGTTCTGGCTTCGGCAGCGAACGAGGGAAGGAAGCTATCCCAGACTACCCGCCATCACGAAGCGGCCGTTGCCATGGAAAACCCAGTTCGATCTCACCAAGATGAGATCGTCCTTCTACAGCAGGAGATGCAGGAGGCGCCCGAGGCCCAGGATGAAGAATCTTCGGGGGTTCCTCCACCAGGCCGAAGCTACTAGGTTGCAGGAGATCCGTGATACTCAACGGCGAAGATAACGGCTCCTGGCCAGTTTTGCGATGAAGTACTATCAGCGATGTCAAGAGATGAAACGCATGCTGGAGTCGGCCTATGACGACCTGTCAACGAGCACAGCTGTTGGCGGAAACCCGTGAGCTCTGAAATGGTTCCGAAATAAGTGGCCTCAACGAATGTATGCTGATTATGAAGCTGTATGTCGAGTCAGAGTAGAGAACGAGGACCTACGTGAGAGCCAAGGGGGTGTGAGGAATAAGTCCTCGCCACGCCTAAGACATTAAGAAGCCTGCGAAGAAAGCTGACCAGGCCCTGGTTCCGCCATCCTACAAGTCTTCGAGCGTTGGGGACGTGTGCATGGTAATCGACGCTTCATTTGGGCTGGACATGGCAGGCGGAAACGTGACGGAAAATGGAGAGAAGCAGAGTCTCCGGGGTATTGATTTGTCCAAGAATGTCGACTGCGAAAGCTGTACAGGATGCAGCAATCGCCAAAATGGACGGCTGGGCAGGTTCACTCGGCTATCACGCTGCTCTGCACTAATACTGCCGGAAAACGGGACTGCAGGCTCGGAATACAAGAGAAGAGGCAACGACCGACCAAGAAGAAGGCTGCGAGACCCAACTTCGAACCACCGCCACCCTACCGCTTCCAACAAACCAACCCACTCGCAACCTCAAGCCACCTCGACTCCCTCAACCCCGCCCACTCCACCCCGCCCTCCCTCTGCGCCTCCGCCTCCTCCGCCGAAATCAACCCCCGCTCCATAAACCCCTCCGCCGCCGGCCCCGCACCCTCCGCAATCCTCTTCTTGCCCTCCTCCCCCATCTCCCGCATCGTCCAGGAACTCATCTCCATATCCTCCCATGCAAACCCAGCTTCATGCGCGACGATATGGTGCGTGAGACCGAAGTTCGGGTCGGCGCCGCGGGAGCGTGTGAAGCGCTCGTACGTCTCATTACTAGCGATCGCTCCCGGGATGGCGGGGATGATGGTCCGCAGGGCGGAGTCGACGGTGCTGAAGATCCCACATGGTTTGAGGATCCGGTGGGCTTCAAGCACTACGGTTACTGGGGAGGGGAGGTGCAGGAGGAGTTGGTGGGCGTGGATGATGTCGAAGGAGGAGGGGGGGATGGTTGTCAGGTCTGTTTTGACGTCTCCGGGACGGAAGGTGACATTCTTCAGCCCTCTCTTCTCAGCTAAGGCTTTTCCGGCTTCGATGAAAGCTGTGCATCATCAGCTGCACAATCCTCGACTCCTTCTCTCCGGAGTTACACTTACTCTCATCAACATCGATCCCAACAACCTCCCCCTTCGGCACGAGTTCGGCGAGATCCGCCGTGATAGCCCCCGGTCCACATCCAAGATCTAGGATCCAATGGTGAGGCTTAATGTAGGGCAGGAGATGGCGTGCATGCTCTTTCGCGGTTCGTTGGTTGAAGTTGCGCTCGTTGAGTTTGTGGTAGTGCGCTTGTTGGGGTTGGTCGGCCATGGCGGTGAAAATTAATTGTGCTGGATCTTGGTAATAGTGCTCGAACGGCCGAGTATGATTTGAGTGTTCTCGAGGGTTGGAAAAGCTGATATGACTAGCTCCATCAATGAATTATAGAGACGTCACCCAAGGCGGCAGCTTTGGGCTGTTGCTTCCTAGATGGGTCTAGTGGTTTCGACCAGTAAGTGAACAGGCGGCAGATATTACTTTTCGCAACTGATGCTTTCACCGGTCCAGGAGAGCTACGAGGTTGAGGCTGGGGGTACTTGGGAAGCGTTGTCTACGTGCAGATTTCAATCCCGAAAATCGGCTTTGTCTTCCAGCGCTTGATCCGTCTCCGATACCGCCAATGAGCATCCGCATCATCTTCTGGATCAGAGCACTGTTCAGTCTACTACAAATGACAGTACAAGAATCGCATTTCAAACATGCCTAAAAGAATCCACAATCCCGACAGGAGCCATCGCAGTCTTAATCCCACCACCAGGTATGTAGATCGAGTCTCCAAAGGCCACGGCTCCTGTTCCATGGCGAGGAACCTGCATCGGCGGTAATCTATACCATACATCGCTCTCTGTATCATACGCCTCGACTTCATCGAAAACATGCTCCGGATTGGAAGGGTCCCCTTCTCCCCCAAAGCAATAGATCCAGGTCTTGATAGCCGCGCAAGCGAGACTGCCTCGCGCGGTAGGCATCGGAGCCAACGTCCTCCACGCGACAGGATTGCGAAGATCCAGCGCAAAGGTCGTGTTCCGGTACTGATCGATTCCATCCTCTCGGCCCCCGATGACATAGAACGTCGAGCCGACGACGACGCCGCCTACGTGCTGTCGACGGGCGGGGAGGGGAGGAAGGTCAGTGGTCCAAGTGTCTTCCTCAACGTTGTACGCCGACGTCCAGGCCACGCTGTTTTGCTGGAAGGGCGGGATGATCTCCAGGAACTGCATGCCGCCCGCGAGATAGATTGTGTTGTTCCAGACCCCCACTGCGGAAGATCCACGCTCGGTTCCGAATGGGAGTGGCGCCAGGCTCTGCCATGCATCGAGAAACGGGTCGTATGCATAGGTCTCGCGCAAGGCTGTCCAATTGCCTCCGGCGCCGAGTGATCCCAGTACGTATATCTTGCCGCCTACGCTAGCAGCATTTGGATGGTTGACAGGTTGAGGCAGCGGAGCGGCTACGTGCCAGAGCTCCCCTTGTGTGTCGAATGCTTCGATACGGTTCGTCGTCTCGACGCCGTATGTGTTGTTGTAGTAGACGCCGCCGATGAGGTACAGTTTGCTTCCTAGCTTGGCCACGGCATGTTCCTGTCTGGGCCCTTGTCCGATGGATGTATGTCTCGTCCAGTGTTGCTGATGTCAAAAGTTAGACGAAGACTTGATGCTTCCTATCTGCCTGCCTTACATATGCATATCCTGACGTAGAGAGCGAAAGAGTGAGTAGAAAGATGATATATTGTGGAACAAACATGACCTTGATGTAATGGATTTTAATTGTCGAGTGGGATCGTGTATCTGATCAGACCTTGTTGGTCTTATACCAAATCACAAAATGCCCGGGGCGAGGTGTGGACTCCAAAGTCCCGAAGCGGGATATCTATCTCGCCGTCAAGTAACGGAGCCAGTGTAATAGAGCTTAGCATACCGGTCACAGGTATTTTGGTAATGCAGATTGCTCAGACTGATAGCAAGGCAAGACAAGGCTCGGCTTCACTGGAGCCTGGCCGGACTCTTGGCGCTTTCCTCAGCTCGCACCAACAGCTTAGGGATTGGACCAAGAGTCTGCTTGCCACCCAGAATACCCTGGGCGCAGTTGATCTGCGGCGGATTCGAAACCAGAGGGCTGTGTTATGTCGGTATGCCAATGCTCATGTTTGTGTGGCTGCTGCGGGTGACATGCGGAACAAAATTCAGCCGAGATCGGGTGGTCCGGGGATTTCAGCAATCCGGGATCATAAGACTTTCGCAAGACGATGTCTATTCGTTCTATCCTTGAAAAGGTCGAACTTTTCGGGGCGTTCTTCTCGTCATGAACTGAAAACCAAGTAGACAGGATGGCCCCAATACTTTCGGTGAATTGGCAGTTTCATGACTCCACGGCGTCTTGGGACTCTCCCCAAGGCAAGCGCCCCTCGGGTCCAGTCATCAGGTTCAGAAAAGCTTCCCTAGCCTTGCGAGTTCTATCTTCATCAGATGAAGCGTCACTCCTGCTTCGAAACAGCGTCTGTCCGGCTGGAGGAGCAAGAATCCCACCAAAGTATGGCGTATCCAGTCCCGTGAACGTCTGCACTGGCGGTGCTCTAAGATCATGCCTCCCACGTCGCCAGAGAGCGATGCGCCAGGATATGGGTATCGAGAAGTCCATCATCTCAACTTCAGACCACTCATTCTTACGGACTTTCTCGTCAACTTCTGCCTTGGTCATGTCTTTGACCGAATTCACGATCCCTTGCCGGCGGCGGAATTGGTCGCCGAATTGCTGCAGGCCGATGAGTTGGAATTTGCATTGACTCCTGTCAGTGTCAATGTTTGGGGACACTTTGACACAGTCTAATCGGATAAGGAACTGCCGTCTGTTGGCTTTACTGGACGCTCTGATGTTCTTGACCTGTATCGCCGGGGAGGAAAGGATCAACCTTTGATGCACCACGACATAACTTTTCCGACGTTTGGTTTGGACTCGCTCGATGTACTCACAACCCTTGAAATCTTCTGGGGAGTCGGCGAGCGCTGCGCCCATGGAGCCTAGCTGGAAGGCGAAGATGGAGTCATCGTCAGACTCGTGAAGGATCTGCTCTTGCAACCGTCGAAATGCATTCGGGCCGCCTTCGCCGTAAAGCAGAGGCATTTTTAGGTCGAACAACCCAAGTAGGCAGTATGCAGCATCCTCTGGTCTTGAAGTGGATCGCCGCGATGCCCAGCTCATTCTCTGCGCGACGGAAGCCCACTGTACGGGTTTGTGTCCTCGTAAGATCCTGCCGTCAATGGAGGTTGCAATCTCTATGGTGCTGACGATGTCCAACGGGTCTCTCAGAATGCTCAGCGCACTGGGAATGTGGGGGCTTTTGGATCCCAAGTAGGACCATTCCTTCGAGTAGAAGGCAACTCTTTGTGGAGCAAGTAACTCTTGGAGGGTCCATCCTCTTGTGAACCACTCGCTGCTCTGGATGGAGTGGCGGATGATGTCTCTGTCCTTTCTCAAATCCAGGTCCTGAACACTGACATCCGACAAATAGGCCACACACCACTTTGCACGCTTGTACCAGTCCCACATGGAGTTGATTGCTTCACTCAGCTCTGCACTGCTTGTCTTGTCGATGCAGACAGTATCGACCCAGGCCCACTGCACCTGTGGCAAACCGTGCATCACGTTTTTGGAGTCTCGTACAAGGCGGCAGAAATCGCGGATCTTGGTGTTCCCACCACATGCCAGAGGATCGGCCTTGTACTGTTGGAAAGTGGGCTCGTCATTCGTCCACCGGTGTGAGAGGATGGCGTACGCAGGAGTCCCGCCGACGAAATCCTCCAGTTTTTCGGTACGGATGTTGATCAGACGCATGGCTTATATCGGTGAAAGATTGATGTCGTTCCGTTCTTGACATCATGGCTTCGGCATTCCTTGACATGGACGCCTGTATATCGCCGATATAATGCTGAAGAAAGTCTTCTTGGCTGCCGCGAAAAGCTGGAAGCTGAAGTGAAGCAGCAGCCCCGCCTCCACCCGGCCCAGCCTGCGCTGGTGCCTGAGGCAACACTATGAAGGGGGGACGATTCAGCCTTGCCAGTGAGGGAGTACGTATATGATCGGATGCAGAATCATTTCGAACATAAGGGCTGGTAAGAGTCTATTCTTCGTATCATCCGCCTGCTTGACAGATCGTTATGGTCTTTGGAATATTCAGCCGTCGTATTCGCATAGGCCCCCGGCATGTGGCATCAGCATCCTTTCAGCCACAACTTTCTTCTTGTGTAAGCACGATAGATTTGCTGGACGAAATCTTATCAAACGATTGGACTCGGTGTTTCCAAGCTACAATTTGCATTGCCGAGACTTCTATAGGTTGGTTGTACACCTGGGGTTAGTCGGCATAACGACCACCAGGAACACCAGACCGTGGAAGTCCGAATCCTGCGTTGCCAATCCTTCCGTGTGTAGCGGGGCGCATTCAGCTGGCACGATCAATACAGACCATTATACGAAGAGCTGTCCGAGGCATAGAGTTCAGACTACGTCCTCTCCGCTTGACTTCCAATCGAAAGGTCCATCTCCCAGCCATGAACATCCCCACTCAGCGGCAGACTCTAGCACTGGACGATGGCCACCTTATTTGCTATACGATTTTGGGCGATTTGGACGGCAAGAAACCTGTTTTAATCTTCATCGTCGGAAGCGTGGGTCTAGGAGTCTTCTACCATCGCCTGGCTACCCACTTGTGCTCACACTTCGTTTGTGTGTATTTCGACAGAAGAGGCTTCGCCGCAGCAATCTCAGCGAGCAGTGCCACATCCATAGGCACGGAGGTTTCGCCGACGGAGCTCATTTCACAGCAGTCAAGAGATGCAGCCGCTCTGATCGAGACCATCAAAAACCGCACGACGGCGCCTGTCTACTGCTTTGGGACCTCCTTCGGCGCAACCATAGCGCTAGAACTACTGCTTTCGCACTCTCGCCTTGTCGAGACCGTTATATTGCACGAGCCAATGTTACCAGCTTTGCTTCCAGAAGCCTCGCCGCAGCGAGAAAGTATAATGCATACTTTCGAAGAAATGCAGCATTCAAGTCAGCCGTTCGCCTTGTTTGCAGCCGGACTGCTTGGCGAAGAACCATCGACCGCAACGAAGGGAAACGATTTCTGGTCTCAGGCTCCGCCGGGAAATCTCAGGCAGGCGATGAAAGAGGCGCTTGCTGCTAAGACATATCAACCAGCGACTCATGATATTCGGAACGCTGCAGTACAGCTTGTCTTGATGGGTAGCGTGGAAAGCAAAAGTCTGCCAGTCTATGAGATGGTCGAGGCGCTGAGCGAGGTGTTGCCAGTTGACAGACAGGGGATCAGTGAGATGGTCGGGGCCCATTTTTCGTTCGCGGGAGGCAGACTTGCGAAGGATGCTGCAAGCTGTATTTGGAATGCTCTGGGCTTGAGGAATACCGAGGCTGGGAGTTCGAAGATATAGTCGTGCAGTTCAAGGAGGCTTGACATGATATCGCATGTTTCGACAGCTCTGCCCCTTGTTGGCGGTAGCTTGACGTCGAACATAATCAGGCTATAACCACAACCTGGGCGCTCTTGATGCAAACATCGCACAGCATGCCTTGATAGCCCTGGCACTGACACGAACACTGACACTGCTCTCTATCTTGACTCCACCATCTCTCTTCCCACCCACGCAAGTTCGCCCCATCGACGATCAGAGGCGAACTTTCTGGCATGCCGCAAAGACCTGTCGCTAGTCCATTTCTGCTGTCGTTGCACTCATTCTGCAAAAAGCTTCTTCCAGCACTATAATGCCTTGGTAGGAACATCATGTGCAAGAGAATCGATGGCGAGAATCGATAGACACGAATCCATAGTGCCACAGTCGAGTTGAATACTGGCGTATAAGCTCAGTCCGTTGCACAGTTTACGTCGATCTCATGTCAAAGGTTTGCCTGTCGCCCAAGTATTGTCGTAGAAGTCTGCTCCGCCGCTCGATTCGGCCATCCGCGGTGTGAGGATAGATCTCAAAGTCTGGACTTCAATCCTAGTTTGTTGGAGCAAGCCAGTCGATCGTACGATTTCCCGCTGCTGGTCCTTCGATTGATTCTGCAGCTGGACGATGGTTTCGTTGGCCTGCCGAAGGCTTTGCTCCTTGCGTCGGCGGAAGTTTCGTTGCCTTCGAACTGTCAGCGTCTTTCCTAGGGTTTCGGGGTAGGAATATGACATACGACTCTCGATTCTGCGCCTTTCTCCTAAGCTGTTTTGCCGTCTTCTCAGACTGCGTCAAGACCGACTGGCTGCCCGGAGGGTCAAAGGAAGGGCTGTTTGAATGCGTCGATGTTGCCACTTCTTCGGGGGTAGAGTTGTCCAGTTCTTGATCATCGTTCCAGGTAGAGCTCGTGGCCTGGGCGAAGCCATCTGGGTAGGACCAGGGCCAGTCTTCGAGGCTGGAGCCAGGATAAGTATACGGGGACATCTGCACCACATCATCAGCATCCTTGTCAGGCTCCTCGTCGATTCGTTATCAACCCACATAGGCAATTGTACGATCCTCGTAGCCTATATCCTGGCCTTGATCAAATTTGCCAGTACCCTGAGTGTAGCCTTCGATTTGCAAATCCGAAGCCACACTCATGATCGCTGTTTCGTTTTGCGAGAAAGGTTTCAAACGTCCCCACGATGTACGAGAAAGCGACCAACAAGGCTAGCAGGCTCGTATCCACACGTTTATGCTCACCACATCATGGAACAGGCACAGAAATAAACACGGCGTGGCCAACGATCTGACGTCAATAGAATCGATCAGAAATCGATGAGCAACCCAACGTTGCGACGACGGGAATCATATGCAAGATTTCGAACGGGAAGGTATAAGAAGGTCGAGCACCTCCCGCCTATATATTCTCGCAATCCAGACCACTTTCCGAGAAAAATCGTCGTATCTGGCCGATCGGCTCCACACAAAGCTGCTTGAATGGATGACTCAGTGTGAGCAGAACGCCCTGTGGCCCTGTAGGATCAGTAGAGGTTGAGCGCTAATGCAGTTATCGAGAAGGCTGTTGGGCGGCCATGTGATTGGCTGGGAGGAGTGGTTCTCCTGCGGGCATCGAGAAGGTTGGTGGATGATGGGTCTGGCCTGTTCGAGAAAGGGTTCGCGGTTCTCGGAGCGGTTGAGGTCGATTTCAAAGCAAGGATAGGAGCCGCTATCCGGCTGTCCATACGTCTATTGTTGACAAGCAGGACGTCAAGTATCAATGACATCTTCCAGCTTGACCTGGAACTCTTCTTCCCGGATTCCCTCGAACCACTCAGAATCTGAATCGATGCATTTTGTTTCGGGCCGTGTTAAGTATTGGGGTACGCTTAAATCGATCGCAACCCTTCCTGTCATTCGCAAAACATCTTCCGCTGCTTCATCCGTCAGCGCGATGATGAATTGCCGAGACACTATTCTCTCCCAGTCATGACTCTCGATGCGCTCCAATACTTGCCCTGAAGTCATATGAAGGACTTCCTCTTCGAGCTGTGGCTTCCGCACATAGATGTGACCTACTTGTTGGACAACAAGCACACAGCTCCGGACAATGTCCGGCTCGCTCCGGCGACGGTCTGATGCAGTGCGGAGGAGGTGAACACAGTTCAGCTTGATGATAAACTGGTCTGGGTATGTATTTGTTGTCTTGATCCCAAGTGCTGGTCCGTCGATTTGAAGTCCCTTGTGCGTGACCATGAAGGGGGAACGTTCGACCCTGGATTGCGTCCGGACAAGAGTGCTGTGCTTGAATGCGGCTGGATGCTTCGCTAAAACACCCGAATGTGCTACGTTGGGCTGCTTGTAGAAGACAAATATGGACTCGTCGTCGCTTTGCCGAATGATCTCGCTTTGCAGGCGCAGGAATGCCTTCGACCACCCCTCTCCGTAAAGCAGGGGCATATTCACATCAAACAAGCCCATTAGGCAGTATGCCATGTCTTCTTGCCGAGTAGTGCGTCGTCGTGCTGCCCAGCCCATACGCTGCGCTACGGAAGCTGAACGAACGTTGGTGTATTTTTCCAGAAATACTGCTTCGATACCAGTGGCTTCCACGAGCCAGCTATCCTTGGTGGCCAACTCGTCTCTCGATCCAACGAGACGCCAGAACTGCGAGTAGAACAGTACATGCATTGGTGCAAGAAGCTCTTGTAAGGTCCAGCCACGGCTGAACCACTGACAATGCCGTAAGGTCCGAGGGTGGTCTCCAGCAGCATCGCTCAAGTACGCTATGCAGTATCTGCTTTCTGCATAGTATCGCCACATGGAGTTGATGGCTTCAGAAAGCTCAGAGCTGCTTGACTTGTCAATGCACACCGTGTCGACCCATGCCCAACTTATGCCGCTCATATTCGGTAAGCCTAACAGGTGATGCCTCCCGGCGTTGGGGTCTGGCTTCCGACTAAGCCACAAAACCAGGCGACAAAAATCCGAAAGCTTCTTAAACCCGGGACTACGACGCTTATTGGGATCTTGTAGATCTTGGAGAGATAGCTCACGTGCATCCCATGTGTGAGAGAGGATAGCATAAGGTGGCGGAGCGTCTCCGAACCACTGCAGCTCCAAAGTACGAACGTTGATGAGCCGCATGTCCAGAGGCCTGAAGGAGGAGCAGGATGTGTGCGTAGGAGTTAGGGTCCAGGCAGGATAGGTGACAATATGATTGAAAAGGCCTGAGATGGTGAGGCCACCTCAGCTCCACCTCTTCAGCCGCTGTGGCGGCTTGCTAGGCGCCGGCTTCATGCCGTGTAACAAGGAGCTTCGCCACTGGGCTGAGTACCGATGAATTAGCAACGAGGACCTGACGGACAAGTGTGCGCCGCACTATCGACTGACCGCTGCAAAGCTGTTGGTCCTTTACCACACATTGTTGGACTCTTCATGCCTCCAACTCAAAGGGCCCAAGCGTCGTCGCCGTTTGAAAGGGATTCGAATGGGACGATGGCAGTTCAGTAGCTTCCAGCTCAAACCAGCGTCCATCCTCATCATCCATATCTTCCGTCAGAAGCTCACTAGCCATCAACTTCCCCGTCGGCGCCCGCTGCACACCCTCATGAACCGTAAACCCACCGAACATCGGTCCATCATTATCCTCATACCAGAAACTCTGACCATCACGGATGTTGAGAGCATTCTGCCGTTCGTCGACTTCGGCGCTATAGACGTCGTTGACTGTCACAGCCAGGTAGAAGCGCATGGACTCGATCTTCTGCCAGGATCCTTCTCGGGCGAGCTTCTCTGCAGCGAGTGGGGAGAGCTCTTCGACTTTCTTCTCCCAGGAGAAATCTCGCACGAAGCGGTCGCCCATTTTGCGGAGGACCATGATGCAGCCTTTGAGACGGACAGCATCTGATGGGTGGGCATCTGCGAGCCCGCCTTCGGGAAAGACGAGACGCCCGCAATTGAGATTGAGGATGTAGAAACAGTCCCGGCCGACTGTCCACTTGATGGCTGGCGATTCGAGGTTCAGTCCGGTGTTCGTGATGGTATATGGCTCTCGTCGAAGTCTCCGCGCTGTTCGAACGTGCTCGCAGTCGACAAACTGGCGTGGGTTCGCTGCGAGTGCTGGTTGTTTGCCGTACATGTTCAGTCCGAATGCGAAGATCGACTCATCGTTCGACTGTTTCACAATCTCTTCTTGTAGTCGATAGAAAGCTTTCTCCTGTCCCTCTCCATATAGCAACGGCATGTTGACGTTGAAGATACCCATTAGGCAGTAAGCCAGATCCTCTCCTCTCGTCGTCTTCCGAGCCGAAGCCCAGCTCATTCGCTGTGCGATTGATGCATCTGCTACATGCTTCCTGCCCTGGAGATAGCCTTCCTCGATAGCTGTCGCAAGGTTGATGGCTCGACGCAAGTCGGCCGTAGTGTTACGCTGACCAAGACACTGCCAGTCTTGGGCATATACGAAGACTTCTTTTGGTGCCAGAAGCTCTTGCAGTGTCCATCCTCTTCTGAACCACGGGCTTGCTCGAAGACTGCGCAAGGTCCGGGCTCGAGAGTCGCTCACTTCGCAGTCAGAGATGTAAGCGACACAAACAGCAGCTTCTTGGTACCACGTCCACATCGAGTTAATAGCTTCAGACAATTCTGCACTTGAGGTCTTGTCGATACAGCACGTGTCCACCCACGCCCACTCGATCCTTCGACGCATTGCTTGGCCTTTCGCCCAGTCAGCTTGCTGGACTAATAGACAGAAGTCCTTGATCTTGCGGTATCCAGCGCCAGTTCTTTTCGAGGGATCCTGGTAATCTTGGTAAGATATCTCGTCGTCCTCCCAACGGTGCGAGAGAATGGCGTACTCTGGCCAAGACGCAGAAAAGTCTTTGGTATCCAGTGAATGGACATTGATGAGCCGCATGATAGATTACCGACTCTCAAATCGGAAGGTCCCAGTCCGTGGATATTGTGGAAACGAACGAATGGCTGAGCTATGTGGCAAGCATCGGCAAAAACAGAGCGAACCCAGGTTTCGCTCGCATCTTCGTCGCAGACCTGTGTGAGCCAGCAGGATTTCCTCCAGCTGCGATGTTACAAAACCTTGTTCACCATTGGAGTCTTGTAGTCCTGTAGTCTCAGTTCTTGTCTTTCATCGGCCACAATGAACGCCTGCTCTGCTCCCGAGAAGGATATTGTCGCTGGCGGCAAAAACGCAACGGCGGATCATCAAGACAGAGTGAGAAAGCTCACGATCAGCATTGCAGATGTTTTAGATTTGATCGGGTTTCCGGTGGTTCGTTGTCTTGGTTTCAGTATGCCTGGGGGAGCCTCCATGTCGTAAAGGAATATCGAGGAAAAGGAGGAGGTGAAGTATCCCCCTCAGCCGCACAATTGGTGGAACCAGCCCGGTCCGAGCTCCGTAGTGCCTGAGGCAAGAACATCGTCCTCTCTACTACACTTGCTCTCTCACCCGGACGTACTCCCGTTAAAAAAAATGGGACCATAAAGGGAAGAACCAGCCTCATAAAAGTCCTTCGAATGCAGACCTCAGTTTGATATGCAAAGCAGAGCCCTGATCTTCACTCCAAAGGTACTCGTGAAGCTTTTATCATTAAACTCAACATCTCGACAAGAGAGTGAGTATACGTATACCATGGATGAGCATCAAGCTTGCGGGGGATTGGAGCCCCTTCAAGTCGTTCTGGGAAACAATGAGGGACCTACTACCCATCTCGTCAAATCCACCATTCCTGTAACAGCCTTCCTAGACTTCGCTAACCCCGGACGTAAGTCGTCCAACAATCCTGCAGGAGTATGCGATGCGAGCGATCTGACTAACATTGCATCGAACGGCTCCGAAATCTCCAATCCTCAGCAGTCATATAGAGCTCGAAAGCAATCGTGGCCGTGTGGACTCCTCTCAAGGAAGTACCTCCAACAGTCCTCATTGTATTCCACAACCATGTCCCGCCTCCTCACCCTCTCCACCAAAATCCACTCCCTAACCACAACTCTCAGCACCCACCACACGCAAACCAACACTCCACAACCCTCCTTCTCCGAAGACCAGCCTCCCATTCCCTCCAGCCCACCTCCCCCAGACCTCCTCGCCACGCAGGAAGCCCTCTCCGAAGCCCTGGAAGAACTCTACTGGCTCAACCAAGGCCCCATCGGCGGCGTGATCAACAAAGCTCTCGCCTCCTCAGTCGGGCTGCAGTTCGTGCTGAAGTAAGACGTGCAGAATGTTGTGCCGCTCGGGAGGGGGATGGGGTTTGGGGAGTTGGCGGGGAGGATTCGGGTGGAGGAGAAGAGAGTTGCGAGGTTGTTGAGGCTTGCTATGACGGATCATTTGTTTTGTGAGCCGGAGCCGGGGTGGGTGAGGCATACGAGTTTGACGAGGGCGTTGAGGGAGGTGGAGGGGTTGCGGGGTTGGTGTGTGATGTATGTGGAGGAGATGGCGCCCGCTGTTGGGAAGGTGAGTCTCGATCCATGATGAGGGGAGTGTTGTGACCGATGGGTATTGTAGGCCGTCGATGCGGTGGCCAAGTGGCCTGAGTCCGAGGAGCCGAATGAATGCGTACGTCCCTAGATCACCCCAACCGCCACTGATACTCACCTTGATCTCACCAACAGGGTTTCAACATTGCCAATGCAACCCGCAAGCCGATCTTCACCTTCTTCTCCGAAGACGCCCCTTCGCGGGCTACTCGCTTCAAAACCGCCATGGCCTTCCACGAGCACTTCCCCGGTCTCGAAAGATCCCACGTCCTTACTGGCTTTGACTGGGCATCTCTCCCTCATAACGCCACAGTCGTGGATATAGGCGGCTCCCATGGCGGAGTGAGCATCGAGCTGGCGAAAGCATTTCCGAAGTTGAACTTCGTCGTGCAGGATCTGCCAGATGTGATAGACGAAGCTGGCAAGGACGACGTAGATGGAAGAGTGAAGTTCATGGCCCACGACTTCTTCACCGAACAGCCCGTCAAGGACGCGGATGTGTACTTCATGCGGTTCATCCTCCATAACTGGTCGGATAAGTACTGCGTCCAGATCCTACAGGCATTGGTTCCAGCATTGAAGCCTGGCGCGAGGATATTGCTGAATGAGCAGAGTTTGCAGCCTTCGTCTGCTGTGCCGCCTAGATATGAGAGGTGGCAAAGGTATGTCGTTGATCCTTCATGCCGATGGTCGTGTGCTGACTCTTGCGGGCAACAGGGCTGCCGATATCAACATGATGGCGGTGTTCAATTCTCAAGAGCGAGACGAGACCGAGTGGGTTGAGCTGTTCCGTAAGGCGAGTCCACGGTTCGAGCTGGAGGAAGTTAGGAGGACCGAAGGCGCACTGTTGGATATGATCGTGTTCACGTGGAAATGAGCAGAGCAGATAAGAAGAGCACTTTGCAGATACCTGCGCGACGGAGGAAGCAAGCATGTCAGTCATTCTCAATCGCTTCCGAACACTCACAGCTCTTCGTGCCCAGTCATCAGTTTCTCTTTCTCTCATTCTTCCATCGCGGGTTTCCCTTTCTTCAAGAACCAACCTTCTCCGCAATATCCACCTGCTTCACCTGATCCCCCATCTTGAACACAATCTTGTGCACCTTCCTCTGCTCGAAGTCTTTATACGCCTGTGGCGCCTCTTCCAAGGACATCGTCTTGCCGCACAAGAAGGCCACCTTCTTCTGTTCCTGCACGAGCAGAGCGAGGGCGTCTTCGAAGATGGAGCGGACAGGGCAGCGGCCGAAGGCCATGGTGACGTTCTTGCCGTAGAGGAGGAGGCCGTTGACTTCCCACTTTTCGGTGCTAGATATTATTAGCATTGCCCATTGCCCATGATCCTTAGCTTGTGTTCGACATACTGCACGCCAATACTGGAGATCGATCCCCACGGCCTGATCATATCAAACGCCATCTGCCACGCATCTGCATGACCGACACCCTCAATCACCACATCCGCACCTCTTCCATTCGTCGCATCCTTGATCTTCTGCACGGGGTTGTCCTTGAGGTTGATGGGTATCGCTCCAATCTCTTTCGCTTGCTCTAACCGTTCTGGCACGCCGTCAATCGCATATACAGTATCCACCATCGTCAGAGCACAAGTGATCGCGCAGATTCCTACGGGCCCACATCCTATACAGACGGCTGTGTATTCTTTGCGATCGCGGTCCGGGAGGTTCTTGAGGAAGCGCGAGGCGGCGAAGTATCCGGTTGGGAAGATGTCTGCCCAAACACAACTCGGTCAGTGTCTTTCACACCTTTGTGTACTCTGTCCTCCCGACCTACCTGCCATCAGCACGAGCATCTCCTCCGGGATTCCAGCTGGTGTCTTGACAAAAGTGGTGTCCGCAAGAGGACATCGCACATACTCCGCCTGACCGCCATCGATGGTATTCGCAGGCGCACTGTTGCCGAAGAGCTCGCCCTTCGCGCATCTCGATGCCTGCCCTCGGACGCAGTAGTAGCATTCACCGCAGGCCGTGTAGAAAGGCACAACGACCTGTTGTCCTCGTCAGCCATCTCAACAATCCCAAGGTCTTGTCTTCCCGCTGATGTATACCTTATCCCCAACCTCAAACTTCTTCACCCCATCACCCTTCTCGACAATCTCCCCCACAAATTCATGTCCACAGATGAAGTCCGGCGGACACTTCAAATGACCTCGGTAGAAGTGGAGGTCGCTGCCGCAGAGGGCGGTCGAGGAGACTTTGAGGACGGAGTCGGTGGGGTTCTTGATCTTGGGGTATGGGCGGTCTTCGACTTCGACCTGTGATCTTCTCGTCAGTGATCCTGTCTTCCACTGAAGATATGGATATGAGTTGTACGTGGTAATCACCCTTGAGCACGACAGCTCGCATCTTCTCCGGGGGCTTGAACGGCATGGTGGATCGGGTATGCAAGGTACAGAGGGTCGCTGATGGTCAACCTTGATGGTTATGAAACAAGATCAAAAAGCTCGAAGTCGTTCTTCTCTCTCTTCTTCATCTCTGTCCACCTCGCCGTGGCCAGAAGAGGGGTAAATGCTCCTGAGCTTCTGCCCCGCAGCCATGGCGATGTCGCTGCATGTCATCGCTCTCGGCCATTTTAGGAATCTGTGAGGTCCTAGGCCGAGGATGGAGGACAGCGTGTAAGGAAGGTGTGGGTGCCGAAACGAGCCGGAGCCGAGTTGTCGATGTGAAGGCGTTGACGGTCTGTTGTCCAGCGTTGATGGATTGTTTTGATGTGGAGTCGTCGTGCATTGTAGGGCTGGATTCGATCGGCCTGAGTCGGAGCTGGGAATAGGGGCCGGGAATAATGTTCCCTGTCTTCGACTTCACCTCTTCTTTGAGAACCATCTGTGTGAGACGTGTTATCAAAATGTCGCCCGTTCGCTCCAAGCCCCACGCTCGAGCTGTATAGGTCAGAAAGCTGCTTTCTTTGCTGTGCTAGAGCTCGATGATGGGCTTTGTTCGAACAAACCAAGCCTCCGGAAGCTCGTGCTTGCTCGCGACCTCTTTGTCTGAGCAACGATGTGTGATCAACTCCGGCACAGTACCAATGTACCCCAAAACGATTGATACAATCCATCTTGACGGCAGTTGTTCAGTACAAATGCTTCTTGCATTGCCTGGAATACTTCTCACAACTGCCAGATGAGGTAAGCCGTCTCCCCAGCTCCGCACATCGGCATTCGGAGTTCGCGCTCGAATGCTTCTGTCTTTCAGCCCCAAAGAGCTTCACTTCAACTTCACTCCAACACCCATATCCTCTTCCAAACCTCAACGCAAGCAAAAGACCAGAAACACACTACCAGAATTATGTCCTCCCAACGCATGCGCATCCGCGACCTCATCCCACACCTCGACCTCGGACACTTCAAACCCGGGCCCCTCAACTCCCTCACAGACGTCCCGGGCGTCAAAGTCCACACGCAAGAATCTCACAACGAAAAGGGCACCATCAACACCGGCGTGACATGCATCACGCCCCGCGACGACTGGTACCACAAAGCCTGCTACGCCAGCGTCTTCGGCTTCAACGGCTGTGGCGAACTAACCGGAAGCCATTGGATCAACGAATCGGGAATGCTGCATTCCCCCATCTGTATTACGGGATCGTTCAATATCGGGGCGGCGTATCAGGGCATTCAGCAGTACACCATCAAGAGTGTGGGCGAGGCGGGTCCGGCGAGTCATTATGATGTTTTGCCTGTGGTTGCGGAGACGTATGATGGGTATTTGAATGATGTGACGCAGTTTCCGATCAAGACGGAGGATGTTGTGAGGGGGTTGGAGAGTGTTTCGACGGAGAGGGTGAGGGAGGGGAATGTTGGTGGCGGGACGGGGATGATGTGCCATCACTTCAAGGGTGGGACGGGGAGCAGCAGTCGGCTTGTCGAGAGTGTGGATGCAACGGGACAGCCGAAGACGTATACCATCGCAGCGCTTGTGCAGGCAAACTACGGCCGGAAACAGCATCTTCGAATCGGCGGCGTCCCTGTGGGCAAGCATTTGATCAGCGCCGCGGCGGACGAAGTAGCAAGAGATGAAGCCAGGAAAGACGGCAGCATCATCGTCGTTATCGCCACAGACGCTCCGTTGCATCCAACCCAACTCCAACGCATCGCCAAACGAGCCACAGTCGGCCTGGCCAGGGTCGGCGGTCACGGGTTCAATTCCTCGGGAGACATCTTCCTCGCCTTCTCAACGGCCAACGAAGTCCCACTCCGACCAGAAGATGGTTCATCGCAACAAGCGCGAGTGTATACTCCCGAGGCGTTGAGCGACTTCTCGATCGATGGTCTGTTTGAAGCTGCGTCAGACGCCACGGAGGAATCGATATACAATGCACTATGCATGGCGGAGACGACGGTCGGTTTCGAGGAGCACAGAGTGGAAGCGCTACCCTTGGAAAAAGTAAAAGCGATTCTCGAGAAGCATTTGTAGAAGACAATCTAAGAACCTGCGAACAGAGCACCAATGCAAGGTCCTGCCAAATACAGTCCCCAAGAAGAATCCCACACGACTCCCCATCTCCCTCTCAATTCCCCTCGCCCCCACATCTGGTTTTGCGTCGAGCTTGAATATCTTCGAGCTTCTCGCGTAGTCCTGACTTGCTGCTCGGAGTCGAGAACACCGAACCTCGATGATGATCTGGCCTGCTTCGGTGAAGGCGGAAACTTCTCTTCGGCATCGTCTCGCTGTTCAGCGACTCTCTCCTTGCTGTGAGCGAGTTCCTGCTCAGACGCTTCCTATGCCTCTTTGATAAGGCTCTTCAACGATGTCTTTTTGAGCAGCTCTCAAGAAAGTTCCATAAAGAGGGATTTGCCTCCTTCTCCCTGCACATCTTACTCGATCCACCCAATCAAGTCAACAATCCAATGGTCTGCCGTCAACTAACCGAACTTGACAACGGCCAGTCTGTGCTAGCCTACGTGGCTGCTCCAGGAGTGACGAGCCCCGGTGGAGCGAACGGAGTGAGTCTGTAGCCGTGAAGCGCCGCGGCTGACGATGTCATTCGTGGTGTGATCTATGCGCTCAGCATCGGAGAGACGTTTGCCCAAGTCTGGACGGCAACAAGTGTCTTCCGCATAGTCATGCCTCGTGAGAGCTCCTTTCGCGCCTCCCTTCCATCGCACGGCTGCTATGCGAAAGCCCTGGTAAATGACGAATGCACCGAGTCAGCGCTCTTCTGAGTTTCCCTGAGCACGTCTCGCGCTGCGTCGGAACGCCTGGCCGTGCGTCTTCTCCACGCGTATGAGTGATCTGGTCGGCTGGCTGTGCCTTTCAGAGTCTCTGTGGGAGTCAGAGGCTTTATATAAGCTGGGATTTGACGGTTGCTGGGGCAGGTCGTACGCATCGTGAGAGCTGGAACGCGAGGGATCCGAGTCCTGATCTTCGATGTTATACCATATCGGTGTGCATAGATGTACGAAAATGGCCGTAAAGCTGATGTACAAGCGCCACATTGTGGAATCTTCTTGACAGCGTTTGCGTGGACTCGCGATGCTGCCGCAGATAGCAGTCTGCATGGTGCAAAGCTCGACATTCACCAGCTGAAGATATAAAATAGCGAGGGCGACTAACGTTCAAGACCAGTTTATTTCCGCTGTAGATGGTGCTGGTAGTTGTTCTGTCGAGTGCCAGCAAAATCATTTTCCCCGAACCTCCCCCGACCAAAAAGTGAAGCTAAATAAGTCCATTCAAATCCTCCTCCCTCAGCGAGGTAGCTACCAAATCCGAAAGGTAAGGTTCCGTGGGCAAGCGGCAGTCCACTCTTCGCTTTTTGTTTTTCGTGCATGATTTCTGAACGGCCCGGGTTCGAGTCAGGGTCATATTCGCGTTATCAAATGGATTGAATTGGACATCAGACCTGTTCGATCCTTGATTTGATGAGGCAGGTTGAGATCGATCTATTTGATTTTAGGGTTGAATATTAGATAGAGAAGAGAATGGGTGCGATTTGTTGAAGATGGTTGGGGTGAGGTAAGTGGAAGTCTGCCCGAGAAACGCGGCTTTGAGGTGGCGGTGGGAGACTCACAACGGAAGGCAGTGCGCACTGGTTCAACTCGCAAGTAGCCGAGTAGTATTAGTAGAGCACGTGGACGAGAGTTCTCAATGTTTTGTCCTTATCCTTTTGTTTGCTGGTGTTCCATTTGAGGAGGATGCCAGCTAGCAGCCCCTTTTGCATTCTTAGAGTTAAATCGAATTTAACATTTCTACCATTTGAACGACATATAGTAGAGGTCTTCTATTTTGTCTTTGAAACCTGCTAAGATCGTTCCGCCATCAAAAGATCGATCACCGCACGCTCAGTTGTTCACGCAGTTGCTGGCTGGTGCAGCGTTTGCAAACAATTGCCAGTGCTTTGGACCGGACTCATACTTGGCTCGTTTCTCTCCACCTCATAACACTTACAACCTCCCCGTGCCGCGCCAGAACTTTCACTAGAACACTACGAAAACATCATCATCAACCCTCTTGCGCAAGACTCTCTTACGGGAGGTCTAACCATGATCATTCCCCTCCACATCCCAGACATGTCCACCTGCCGTGTCCGCAAGTACATAAAGTCGATGACTTTCTTTCGTCCTGCACGAGCAACGATAATAACACCAAGTTTCGAAGCAACGATCGAGAGACGATGGAGTCTCGTGAAGGTCATAGAGCAGGATACAGTTCAGGCGAAGCCTACTATCCCCGTCGACCAACGGAGACGAGTCCTGGTTACGCTAGGAATGCGACAACTACTCTCAAAATCTCATCTTCACTGAGCTTGTGTTGTATAACAAGGGAAAGGGCTTTACAATCGAGGACAGGGGAGAACTTCCCATTATCGGGATGGTGCCACTGCAGCCGCATCCGAACTCCAGGTAAGTTAGCAACAAAAGTGTGCACGAATGCAGCAGTTACTCTCACAGTCTCATCTTCACTGAGCTTCTGCTGTATAACAAGGGAAAAGGCAGTGTGGTCGAGGTCAGGAGAAAACTTCCAATTCTCGAGATGCTGCCTCTGCGGCCGAAGTCCAGATCTGTTAGCATGAAAGCTGGGAGCATGAACTACGATCGCTTCCAAAAGCCTTCTATAAGTCTATCTGGTTTTCCACGAATCTGAATGTTGTTTGCACTCCGGAGCAATGCAAGTCATGGGTCATGTTACCATTATCCAGCAGCCACAGGATTGGGTGCTGAACTCTCGCCATGCAGGACACTGATCTGGACGAGAAATCGATCTAGACGATGACTTTGTGCGGAGCGTCCTTCTCTTCGGGGGTGCTGAAGAGGTCGACTGGCCAGCGGGGCTTGTCTATGGAGATGATCAGTTACGATGTTTACATCGGTGTCCATCTTTGAGCCGACACTTACTGGCAATGTATGGGATGTTGTATCGGACTGGGTTGTCGCCGAGCTTGTTGACGGCGGCAAGATCCTCCTTGGAAATCTCGACCTCCTTGAAGTTCGATGCGATTCTTGATGGAGTGACGGACTTGGGGATGACGCTGTGGCCGCCTTCTTGGGCCCAGGCGAGGCTGTCGTCATCGTCAGCAAAAATGATATCAGCGGGAGTGCTGGAGAATCTTACATGACCTGTGCGGGCGTAGCACCAATCTTCTCCGCAATCTTGGTGATCTCGGGGTAGGTGATGAGAAGAGGCTTGTCGAACATGTTGTTGCCGAATGCGGAGTACGCCGTGATGTGGATGTTCTTCTTCTGGGCGTAGTCGATGAGCTCACGCTGAGGCAGCAGAGGGTGACGCTCGACCTGGTTGGCGGCAGGGACGACATTGGTGGCCTTGATCACAGCCTCGAGATGGTCAACACCGAAGTTGGAGACACCGACAGCGCGGGCCTTCTCCTTTGGCAGCTCAGTCAAGGCCTTCCAGGTGTCGACGACAGAAACATCATCGAGCATCTTGACGTCGCCGTTCTCCTTCAACGGGAAGAGCTCGGTGTTGGGGTTGGATGAGTCAAACGCGACTGGGAAATGCATCAGGTAGAGATCGAGGTATTCGAGTTCTAACTCCGCCAGGCAGTCGTCCAGTGCTGAGGGGACATCCTTGGGGCGGTGCTGCGAGTTCCAGAGCTTGGAGGTGATGAACAAATCTTCACGCTTGAGGCCGGGGACTTCTTTGAGGGCCTTCTTGATACCCTGGGCGATTTCCTTCTGGTTGCCGTAGCTGGTGGCGGTTACGTCAGTGGTTTGATGCTGGAGTGGAATGTCGATTCAACGTACACCTTGGCCAAGTCCTGGGAAACTGATGTTAGCCTCTAGATCACAATACTTCCAATGCCATATTCAACCTACCAAATGGCGATATCCAGCCTTGAGAGCCTCGTAAACTGCAGCGCCAACCTGACCTGGCTCCGCCTGCCAGGTTCCAAATCCAAGAAGCGGGATCTTGGCCCCGGTGTTGAGAGCGACGGTTCGTCCGAGAGACATATTGGCGGTGATTTGGAGGTTTCGATTGATTGATGGTTGTCTTGTAATTGAGGAGGTGTCGTGTGATATATGGTTGATGTGGTGTCTCGATACTGTGGGTGAAGAAACTTCTCCAGACGTCACTGTGGGGCCGGGGCGGGATGATGGTTTTTCCGCCAATGATGATCATCCTGCAGGGTCTCCCATTCAGGCAAAATTCAGGCCCATCATCTTTGCCGGTGGTTAAAGTCAGTCTTGACCTCATCGTAAACACAGGTGCAATGGTTTCTTGTCAAATGCAAGCTGCAAATATGATTTACTGTTGGAAAATGGCATGTTCTGTACACATTCGCATCGATCTCAAGTGCTAGATTCCCGACGCTGGATTCCATGGAAGGAGTATGCCTTGAAGGTAGTTGGAGCGAAGTGTGGCGTGGGAGTATTGGACTGCATGTGATCTGCGAACTAGCAAAAGACAGACCCTCGAACAGGACAGTTTCACTGAGCCAATGCTTGATGGGCGATTTTCAACACACTCACTGTATTGCAGTCTCAACAGACACACCAAGAATTCAAAACGGCAAGCGACGAGCTGAGTTCTGTCTGACGGGAATCATCTCTGATGATTACGACCACCACTACTCCCCGGCATATCTCGACGACTGGCGAGAGAATGCAAAATCGTTCAGCGACAACCTCCAAGATTCTGGACATGCCAATTTTCGTTTCGGGGATAGTTCGACGACTGGGGACTTGATTCTTGAGTATGAGAACGTCTCAACGCATCGTCATTGGATGAGCGTACGGCAGAGATCTGTGAGAGAGATCGAACAAACTAAGGCGGGAAGGGCAAGGACTGAAGCACGTTAGAAAGAATACGCTAATAGATATTGATCTCATTCAGCAAGTTATCTCCACGGATGAACGAGCATCCCAGCCATCCGCAGCAACGTTGCAGCTCTGGTTGCCTTGATAGGTACGGGGATAAGACGAGCCTCGAGGCTGGAGTGAGAAAGACTATAGCACTTTGGAGGCCACGCCACTTCAACTCATTTAGCGATCTATCTCCGAGGACGAACGAGCATCCTAGCTCTCCACGACGACGTTGTCGTTCTAGTAGAGACGGTATCTACGGGGATAAGATGAAATTCGAGGATAGAATGGAAAAGACTATGGCACTCTGGAAAGCGCGGCACCTCATCTCATTTAGCAGGTTATCTCCACCGCTTACCGAACTTCCCAGCTGCTTGCAGTAACATTGGCGCTCTGGTGGAGATCACAGCCATGGGGACAAGACAGAGATGGAGAACAAGAAGACATCGGCGCTCTGGAAATTTCGTGCCCAACTCTTGATCTTATTCTGGCAGCTATCTCCACGAACCAACGAACATCCCAGCCATCAACACCTTGCCTGCCACTCCAGTGGCGATCCTATTCCTTGGGATAGTAAGATGAAACTAGGTCGGCTTCATGGAGGACACCACACCGTCCGTGCCCAGCTTCTTCACCAATTCCAACAGATCCGAAATACCACACATTTGCTTGTGTTCCTTCCAATCCTTCCTCTGGCATGCCATGCTGCAGTATTTGGCGATCTTGCACTTGCCGCAGGAGAGCAGTGGCTTGCCAGCTTTAGTGGTCTCAGCTCTGCACCCTCTGCACTTCTCCTTCGTAGAAGTGACCTCCTCTGGGTCGAAAGGCTCTCCATCATCGTGCTTCCGGGCAGGACGCAGCGGCTTGTAGTCTTTGATCAGCTCGCGGGCTGTCTCCATGAAGTCTTGTGGCTTGGAATCTGCTTTGGTGGAGGAGATGGCCGTGCGAGCATTGGCGGATGGATCGAAGAAGAGGCTGGCGAGAGTCTGGGCGAGGTCTTCGACGTTGGGCTGGTGGTAGGCGATGCCCATCATGACGTTCTCATGAGCAAGCTTCATCTCGCTCTTCTTGCGGCTGTGGTCCGGCACCCACACGTTGGCCATGCCGCAGCCGGGATAGATGAGGTCCTCCTTTGGAGCACCTCCATTTGCCATGTTCTCTTGCTGGCTAGGGCTGCCGAAGTCGTGTGGCGTGCCGTCTTTGTAGCCGGTGGCTGGGTCCAGAGCGGCTTCGATCTGGGTCATGGCATCGCGCATGAGGCCACAGTCCTTGTAGTACTTGCGCATGACGTTCTTGTGCCGGGTCGAGATCTTTGCGCCGAGTGTCATTCCGCAGGCGCCGAGGATGCAAAGACGATATCCAGGGCCATATGGGTCGCGAGTCCAGTTGGGGTTGGAGGTGTTGGCTTCGTGGTGGAGCTTCTCGAACTGCTTTTCGAGGGCGCCGGTGGTGTCGAGATGTGCGCGGACGCGATCTGTGTGGGAGCAGAGCTTCTCGAAGAGGGAGTAGGAGATTGGCGTCTCGTTCTCTTCGTCCTGTTTTGGCAGCTCTGGGCGGGGCATGACGTCCTCTTCCTTGATGGCCTTCGACTTGGCGGCCCAGAGACGGTGCTCATCCTGGCGGAGGGTGCCAGTGCCGGGTTTGAGGCCCTTGCGGCCGTGCCTGACCTCGAGGTCGTACAGGCCGCAGTCCCCGTTGAGCTCCTGGACGAGGTCGAGGTCCAAGTCGCAGCAGAAGAGCTTCAGCTGCCAGCCGCCCATGGTTGCGGTGTTGTTGGTGGTGATGTGAGGAGTGAAGGTAGGCGTAATGTAAGTAGTGAAGGTAGAAGTATGTGGTCTTGTCTGCGAAGTGATGTCGGGAGTGATGCGAATAGTAAAGAGAGAAGTGAAAGCGGAAGTGAAGCAATAAGACCAAACAGTGAAAGGTAAACAAACGTGGAAGGCGCGAGAGTATGGATTCTTGGCACCATTTTATGCACATACATGGCAGCATGCGTCTGATCCGTCCATCATGTAAACTCCCGTTTGACCTCTCCCTTTTCCATTCTGGGCCCTGTGATCCTCACTGAATGGATCTTCAGCCTACTCTGAGCAGTATTTGAAGTCCGCTGAAACTGCTCATGTCCCTCGTGGAAGGCACTGCGATCCACAAAATGAATCAGTGCACGAAGTGATATGACTATGGCCCTCAACTCCAAGTCTATGCCGAGACAATTTCAACAGCTCGAGCATAGGTAGCGATGCTATGGAGTATCAATCTCTCGAGACTATTGTAACAGGTGCTTGCCATCAAACCCATCTTCGACTCCATGGTTGTCGTCCTCGGTCTCTTAGAGTGATACTGGGGTCTTCTAACGGAATGAGACATGTCTCACCATTTAGACATTCTCTCAAGGAGAGCACTGCTGTGTCTGAGACTCGTCTAAATAGGAGAATACGTCTCGCCCATACTTTCATCGAGTCTTGACTCGAAACACCTAGTCATGTCTTGCTATGGTGCTCGTAAGACAGCCCTGAGCACGAATCTCAGTGGGACTCACAAACACCATCTATCCCAAGATATAAAGGCCTTTCCAAGTCCTTTCCTCCAGGATATCTGACCAGAACCAATCAAAGATGGCACAATGTTAAGAACCAACAACGAAGAACCAGCGAGTGACGCCTGGTCGGGAGCAGACTCCAGTGAGCTCGAAGGACCGCCTCTGGTCAATGAGCGTCTTGATCCGATGGACATCTCGCCAAGCAGTCAGGCTGAAAGTTCGAGATTGGATGAAGTGTCAATGGAGCCAGTAAGTCTCCCTCAATCTGCTTGTCGTTTTATGCCGACCTCCAACACTAACAACCCACAGCCGTTCCCTAATCGCCCTCCAGCTGCATCTGTTCCTCACATCAGGAGTTCCATAACCTTTTCTCGCTACCATGCCAGCCGAATCCCCGAGGACATGTTCCGCGAACTTGCGAGCTACGGCTTCCATCCAGGTCCAAACGGAGAATTGCGGTTGCCGCTTGGTACACGGCCACTTTACAGTCTGATGGAGGCAGAATCTTCCTCAGAACAGTCCTTCCTCCACCCGGCGTTGGGCGTGAACGTGGAGGCAATCGAAGGCTCCCAACATCTCATCCGACTTGATTTTGAGATCGTCTCCCGTCCAGATCCTTCCGGTCCGATGGAGGATGACGAAGGTCACAACAGGACTTCCCGCCTCCTGCGCTAGTTGACGGAGAACAGGTGCCCAATCTGCACGGAGGAGTACGTGAACCCCGTCAGCACGAATTGCTCGCATGTCTTCTGCTTGGATTGCGTGAGTCCTTGAGTACGGGCGAATTGGACATGTCCAGTCTGTAGAGGGTTTCAGGATGCTAGCGATCTTATCCTACTTGTCTGCGCTTGAAGCCGTGGACCCCTGAAGCGCCCCAAGCGCATCACGTGGTGGCGGCGTTTGTTTCCCAACTTCTCTACGATTTCTCGACTTCCTCCCCAAACAACAAGGCCTTTCAAATCACGCATCGCCGCCTTTCGTCCCTTGGTCAGTTGTTCATTTGCAGAGAGAATGTCGTCTTCCGACTCTGCCCCCGCTGCCCCTCCCCGCCGAACCAACTCTCGCTGGGACGTGCCGCCAGTAAGTCACCTTCCCATCCTCATCTCCTCGCTCATGCTAACACCCGCAGTACCCTCCCCCAACACGCCCCGACATCCGTCGCGTCCATCTCATCAACATGCGTGTCCTCCGCGAAGCCCGCCGCCGCCTGGAGCAGCTCGAAGACAACGAGTGCAAGATCTGCCTGGAGGACCTCCACGAGCCGGTGGAGACGATCTGGGGACACATCTTTGGGAGGGACTGTATCGTGAAGGTCGTGAGCGAGGGGGGCGATTGCCCCATGTGTCGGTATCCGTTGGAGATGGACGACATGAGGAGGTTGGTGGAGTATGAGACGAAGAGACAGATGAGGGCGAGGATGGGAAGTCAGGATGAGGGTCATGGAGAGAACGAGGACGAGGAGAATGAGGAGCAGATGGAAGGGAATCAGGAGGTTGGTGGCGAGGAGAACGGAGGCCAGCAGGTCGGAAATGAGGAGAATACGGAGGCCCCGATGGCGGCCGAGACCAACGAGAGCGAAGACAGTGGACCATGAAGAACCCCCATCGCAACAAGACCATCAAATGGCAGATACAGCAGCACCATGCCCTGGAAAGACCTCGATTTGCGGAGATAGAGAGAGTTGAAACCCTACAACTTCGCCTTCGCTTCGCCCTCCTTCTCGGCCAGTACCTTCAGCTCCCTTCTCAAGATCTTCCCAGTCGCAGAAGAAGGAATCGCATTGATGAACCGGACACCTCCTCGAAGCCGCTTGTGTTTTGCGACTCGCTCGCTCAACCAAGTCGCAATCTCATCAGCGGTCGTCGATGACTTGTCAATCCCACCATCCAGCACAACATACGCCCTCGGAAGTTCTGTGGCGAGCTCCTTGGAGTACACCCCAATCACGGCTGCGTCTTTGATGGTCGGGTGGGAAGTCAAAAGACCCTCAAGTTCTACCGCACATCGTCAGCACGACTACAACCTCACAAACGAAGCACGGTACATACCAGCAGGCGCAACCTGAAACCCATTGAACTTGATCAATTCCTTGATCCGATCCGTGATGAAACACAATCCCCTCTCATCCACATACCCAACATCTCCCGTCCGAAACCATCCATCACTCGTCAACGCCTCCCTCGTTGCCTTCTCGTTGTTCAAATACCCCTTGAAGACATTCGGACCTCGCACCCAGAGCTCGCCGACTTCGTTGGGGTCTACTTCGGACAGATTCCCAACGTCGACAATCTTGGTCTCAACGTTAGGTGCAGGACGACCGATCGAGCCAATACCGACGTTCCACTCATCCCATTCTTGCTGATGTGTTCCGGGAGAAGTCTCGCTAAGGCCAAAAGCTTGCTTGACGGGTATCTTGAGTCGGTCGTAAAGCAAGTCAACGAGATCTTTCGTCAGAGGCGCAGCGGCGGATACGAGCATCTTGAGACTGCTGAGGTCGTAGTTGGCGACGGATGGGTCTTTGGCGAGGGCGAGGATTATGCGGGGGACGACATTGTTGTAGGTTATTCGGTGGGTTTGAACGAGGTTGAGGAAGGCGGAGAGGGTGAAGGTGGGGAGGATGAAGAGCTCGATGCCTTGGTGGAGGGAGTAGTGGAGGACGCCGGTTAGACCTGCGAGAAAGTCAGCACTTGGATCATGATGGTGAGAAGTGCAGACGTGCCGTAAATGTGAAAAAGAGGCAGAAAGCCAATCGTCCGGTCTCCCGATCCAGTGGTACCATCGCCGCAACTCAGATATCCCTCATTTGGCCGAGTCAACATCAATACATTGGAGACGATGTTTCTGTGCGACAGCATGACGCCTTTCGGTTTGCCCGTGGTCCCACTCGAGTAGACCAGGAAACACAGATCCTCATTTGGGTTGATTCGATAAGGTCGCGGAACATGTTGGTTTGCGTCGTAGACTCGATATCCAGACAGGGACGTATAATGCGGGACTGGTGTGTCGATGGTATCCGGGCCGATCAGGATCACCCTGTTCTCTCTCACTCCAGCTTTCCTCGCCGCAGCCAGCGTCGTCTTCAACAAGGGCGCTTGCGTCACGATCGCTTTCGCCTTAGAATCCACCAACTGATGGGCCAGCTCATCGACCGTATATCCAGGATTCGCGGTCGTCACGATGCCGCCAGCCCAATGAGTCCCGAAAACGATGGTGGCGTAGTCGACATCATTCGGCGAGTAGATGGCCAGAACGTCGCCTTTTTGCCAATTCCAAGAACTACGGAGGGACTGGCCGAAGCCTATCGCGGAGCCTTTGATGTGCGCGTATGTGTATTCTCTCGGAGAGATGGTGTCATGGAAGATTACTGTGTGAGTGTCAGTCTGGGATCCTCTGTCTTCCGGCCATCGAGCTCACCTTTGTCATCGCGGAAAGGCCTGTTCTTCCTCTCAAACAGCAAAGTCCACGTATCGACATCAGGAATCACCACATCGGCGTGTTTCGACCTGATCGGCATCTCTTCTCTTCAGTCCTCTTTCCTCGATCGCGCTTCTCCAGCCCGGTCAAAAAGGCAGCGAAAGGAACCAAGCCGATTGTTGCAGCTGGGCAGGCTTTTGTTTCGCCCTCCACTCAGCCGCATGGTGGTCCAACGTCAGCCTGGAGCGAATAGCAGGGAGGTTCTGCGATGAAGTGAAGTCGGACATGTGGGTCCGCTAGCTCGATGCAGGCATGATCCTTCGGGGGCTCCACGGATGAGCCGAGGGGTGAGTGATCAGGATCAGGATTTGCAGGAGATCGAGTACCGCTACAACGACGCATATCAGGAAGAAGTTTACGGACGGGAGAAAATATCAAGTCATCCCGGAGTCGAAGACATTCGCCATCCGACGGAGTATCAACACGCTCGAAACGAAAAGCATCAACGACATGATCTTCTCGGCAGCCGGATCGCAGCCCTACTTTTCCTCAACCGAGGGTGCTGACTGGTGATTATTCATCTAGCCCTCCTCCCTTCATATTCAACTCTCATCATGACACCGACCACCGACCCATCATCTATTCTTGGTAAAACTTCCACCGGCAATCAGCCTTATCACTTACCAAAATACCAGACAAGATGAGTGGCCCTGGGGCTGGTTTCGAGCACAAGCCTAAAGATGTGACCTGGAACAAGCGGGACTCTCTCTTGTTTGCCTTGAGCATTGGGGCTGATATCGATGAGCTTCATTTTGTGTTTGTAAGTGGATTTGGGTTCAAATACTGCTAGATGGTAGACTGATGATCTCGCAGGAGAATGCCCCGAACTTCCAAGCATTTCCGACTTACGCCAACATTCTTCGTACTTCAGCTCGCCAATCTCTTACGAGCGACATCAGCTAACATCACGAGTAGCAATCAAAGGAACATCCCAAGATGTCATCGATTTCGGCAAGTCGGTCATCTCTGAGCGAATCCCTGGAGTGCCAGAGTTGAAGCCAAACCGCATCATCGACGCTCATCGAGCAATGACATGGTACAAGGCTTTGCCAGCCAGTTCTGAAGGAAGGTCTTTCGAACTTCAGACCAAAGTCATTGGCGTCTATGACAAAGGCAAGGCTGGGACTGTTCTGGAGCAGGAGACCGTGCTCAGGGAGAAGGCAAGCAAAGAGCCGTATGTGAAGCTTGTGGGCAGTACTTTCTTCATTGGGCAGGGCAATTGGGGAGGACCGAAAGGCAAGTAATGGATTCTCTCATCCTTGCCAGGCCGCTGACATGTGAGCAGGACCAAGTCCAGCCAGCTTCCCTCCGCCCAAGGACAAAAAGCCAGATGGCGTTGAGACACACCAGACCACCACTCAGACTCCTTTGATCTATCGGTGAGTAAGCTCGCTCCCACGGCGACTCGTAACGCTTACACCCAAGAAAGTCTCAACGGCGACTACAACCCCCTCCACGTCACCGCAGACCAAGGCAAAGCCATGGGCTTCGGCGGCGCCATCATGCATGGCCTCTTCACGTACAACATCGCCGCCCACTCCGTTCTCAAGAATGTCGGCAAGTCCGATCCAGCCAACCTTCGCCACTTCTCGGCGAGGTTTCAAGCTCCTGTCAAGCCGGGCGATAAGCTGGTCACGGAGATCTGGAGAACTGGTGAGTTTGAGGATGGGTTTGAGGAGGTTAGGTTTGTTACGAGCGTGGAGAGTGGGAAGGTTGTGTTGAGTAATGGGAGGGCTTTGGTTAGGACTGGGGGTGAGAGTAAGTTGTGAACTGGGTAAATGTGACCATGAGGGTGAAAGTATGAAACGTCAACGATGTTGATGATGCGGATGTTTTTCGGTTGAAGTCTGTTGACCTATCGCAGACAAGACTCACCGGTTTCCAAGCTGCGTCTTCTACTTCTCAGCGATGAATTCCCACGAGCCTTCGAATTTCCCATTTCCTACTTCTCCTGGCAGTGGGACCATGATCAGGTAATCGAATCTCATCAAATTCGAAGTCTTCATTCCAATCCTCAGTGACCGCTGAGCTGTATACTTCACCAGTCCATGCAAAGCTTCAGGTTCGCCAGATCGTCCGTCGTCTCCTTGATGGTCTCATTCGGTGACCCGACTGCTGGCATTGCCACTCCCCAGTCCACCTTAGAGTACTCCTCTGGGTCCTCCAGACCCTTCGTCTCTTGACTCTTCTGGGTCAGCCTCGATGACTTGGATGTCGACCACGCCCAACTGCTCCTTCGAAGCTGGAGTCATGTCGAGACCACCACTGGAAGGAAGGAGTGCATCCCACTCTTTCTCGTCCATCCACGGGAACTTGCTCTCTTCCCATGGAAGGTATGTCCAGTACTCTGCACAGCAGTCGTGGCGAGCTTGACGGTACGTGACGGTCTTACCACGCTCATCTTTCTCCTCCTTCACAACGAACGCTTTCTTGGTCGCCTCAGCTGCGTCCTCCACAATCTTGCACAAATGACGATGGATGGCCTTCGTGGAACAACGAGGAAGACCGAACTGTGTCACGATCTCGCCCGCAACATCTGGACCGAGGATCATAGCTGGCTCACCAATCGCCACGAACCGCTGGATTTGAGACAGTGCTTCGCTGAGAGGTCCAGCTGGCTGGGATCTCCGCGTGCCCCAGGCCTCCACGTACACGCGATCCCCGACTTCTTGCTGGGCGAGCAACTGGGACCAGTAGGTGCGCTCCGGGTCTGCGATCATGTGCCTAACTGAGTGGAAGTAGATCTCCTTGTCTCGAAGCTTGATCGCGAGAAGCATGGTCTGGCGTGGCTCCTCTGCCACGAAAGCCCAGAGACTCTCACAAGAGTGCAGGTAGCGCACCACAGCTGCAGCGACCTGCGGCAGACAGTCAAGATACTCTGCCCGAGCGCACAGTTCACTGATGAAGGACCCAGGTGGTGATATCCTCGAAGTCTTTTCCAGAGAGCTTTTTGCCGTACAGAATCTTGAAGATGAGCAGGTACTGGTGGGCTGCGTTCCGCTGCGCGTTATAGCCAGTCTGCGAGACGCCACCGCAAGGATCTGGCCAGTCCGCGGTCGCCAGCACGGAGTGATCGAAGACATCGGCGTCCTCATATAGCTCGTCCAGCAGTCCCTGGAAGCTCTGGCCCTCAAGGACCAGGGTGCGATCTACGAACTTGAGGCCCAGCGAGTAGAGCTTCATGGGGGTGATCTTGCCGGGCATATTGATGTCGATTGATTTGTCGAAGATGTCGCACTTGCCAAGCGCTGGTGCGAGAGTCTTGCAGTGCTTCGCGACGACGTCCTTGTGGATCAGAATGTCGAGAGAAGTGTTAGCGCTTAGTTTGATGACGAGATCTCCGTCGGCGAATCGGAGAGAGGTGACAAGAGTGTTCATAGCGGCCATGTTGACAACGGGGAGTGGTGACTTTGCGTCGACGAGTTGAGCAGAAGTGCTAGGCAGAAGTGGAATCGCGCTGAAGAACACTCAAATCTTCTCAGAAAGTGTGCTGTGTTGGAAGTATTGTCAGTGCTGAGTGTTTCAGGGGTAGAGTGCGGTCAGGCGTGGTGTGGGCGGGAGAAGTTCTCAGCAGTCAAGTTGCTTTTCGCGGAAAGCCAGAACGGCTGGTAGTGTATAGGGCAAGGAAATAGTTCTAGATCAAGAAGAAGATTGCCGACGTCGCTGCTAGCCAGTGCGTTGGCCTGATGACCGTGCGGTTGTGAATAGTTGCGCGCCATGGCAGTGTTCACACCTGTGAGGGCAGTCACATGTTAGCACATGTAGACCCTTCACACTTCGGAACAGAACGACCGTAGGTAGATGGATCTTTTATCATGAACTCCTAGGGGTGAAGTAGGGGATGGTGGGTATCGGAGAGAGCGTTTGCTTCATGCTTAAATCACAAAGAACGTTGCTCCGAGGTTTTCAAAGAAGACATAAAGACTCCAGCCGTATGAATGAAGGCCCTTTGTCAGCGATATTCGTAGTTGAAGTCATGGTTCGAAGACATCCTAGAAATACAGCACGGGGGGTAAACTCCATACAGCGTTAGCCCGTAGAACAAGGAGAGCGAGTAGAACGACACTGTGGAGCAGAGGTCTGACTTCGCATTTTTGAGGATGGTTTTGCTCGAAGATGTCAAATGATTCGAATTCTAACCGATGCTCACACTACACCACCCGTCAACGGTGGTGTGAGATGCCGTCCTGAAGAGCAAGCCCTTGGAAGCTTTCTTCCCAACCGCTACGCCTTGAACACAGCTTTTCCGAAATTTCAATCCACGAGGGAGTGTTTAAGTGTATTGAGATTCCCGGAGGGCTCTGCGAGCAAGGGACCGCTGTTGAGTCGAATGCCATTCTTGCCCTGTTCGCGCTCTCCGCGCAGAAGTCGATATGGTTTCAATCTAGTTTTGTGATGATGTGTCTCGTGACGCCCAGCAAGAGGTTTGTCGTCTGCGAGTGCGAGATGTGCAATGCACACATCCGTGATTCTGAGTTTGCGCTCTTCTACCATTCGCTGAACGGCTTGATGTTTTGCATATCCTGTCCAGGCTGCACATCCGCGATCTCTCGAATGGCGGGTCTCTCCTTCTCTTCCGGCCCGTTTGCATCTTCTGTGTCATCAGCGACTGGCGGAGGGATAGCGCTTGCCGGTGGCATGGCGGCTCCCCAGTCGACTTTCAGCTCCTCGGGGTTGGTCTCGGATGCCGTGACAATGCCGAGGGTCTGGAGCTGTGCAGTCGTGGCTGGAGTGGAGTCGAACGTGCCGCGTTGGAGTGTAGCCTCTTCCCACACAGGATCTGTCTCCCATGGAACATCGTTCTCGTCATACGGAAGATAAGTCCAGTAGTCCTCGTTTACGTCGAATCTTGCACGGCGCCAAATCACACTCACGCCTTGTGCACTGATTACCTCCTTCGTCTTGAAAGCGCGCTTAATCTTCGCGTCCGCAACTCTGACGATCTGGCCCAGGAAATGCGTGAGTTGGTTGATCGAGTCTTCCTTCAAGTTGAAAGTTGTTGCGAGACCCGTGACGGCGGTTGCCCCAAACACCAGATGACCAGAGCCATCTGCTGTCGATTCCTCAATTTCTGCGAGAGCCTTGCGTAAGCGGCCGCGTCCATCGCCATAATCTGTAGCGATGTAATAATCCATCTCTTGCTGAGTATAGTACTCTGCCCAGTGTGCACGGGCAAGGAACTCCGCCTTTGCAGCGTTCTTTTGGCTGTTTGAGAAACTTTCGATGTCAGGTTTGCCCTTGTTCAAGAAAATGGTGTGAGTGCTCTGTCGGTCACTTGGGCGAGTGTTGGACTTAGGAAGCGCCATCTGGCGGAGCTTCTTAAGAAGGTCTTCGATCACGATAGCTTGCTGGACTCGCATTGACTGGTTCAAAGAGCTAAAACTCGCCAGGCTCATCCCAAGAAAGTCTGAAAGACCTGCGAGCTTCTCCTTCTTTCCGTGAGAGCTTGCCGTGAAGTGGCGAAAGGCGTCAAAGTAGATCTCTTTCGAGCGTAGCTTCTCACCCAGCAGCATGCGGTTGAAAGGATTGGAGCCCATAGTCTCCCAGAAGAACGGACACGAAGAGAGCTTGGAAGTGAGGACCTTCGCAATGAGTGGTAGGCAGCCAAGATACTCAGCTCTCGCGCACAGCTCGCTGACCTGATCCAGGTAGCGCTCGATGTTGTCCTTGTCGACTGAGTCGTACCACGGCTCAAGATCGTCGAGAGAGAAGTCCTGCTTATGAAGGATCTTGAATAGCACCAGATACTGACAGGCCACAAGCACGTTCGAAGTGTTGCCGTACTGCTCGGAAGAGAAGGTGTGCTGAGGCCAACCGGGAATCGAAAGGCAAGAGTGATCGAATGAACGACACAGGACATGCTCCGGCACGCCATCGAACTCGGTTCCCTCTAGGAGAAGGGTGCCATCCACGAACCTTAAAGCGAGGGTGCTGAGGTCGATCGAATGAGGACTGTCTGGGAGTTGCGCTGGCACTGAGCTGTCTAGCCAGGAGATGTATTGTGGGTCTGCGATCGTTCGCAAACAGAATGCGAGGGTTGGACAGCTCTTCGCAACCACGGCTTTGCTGATGAGGACGTCCAAAGTGCCATCAGGGCTGAGTTTGACCAGCAGATCGCCGTAGGCGAAACGAAGTGCGGATGCCAGTACCTCGGGGGCCGGCATGATGACTGGAAGCTCACGACGATGGAGAGGTAAGGAAGAGAACAAGGTCGATGTATAGGGGGAAGAGATCGGTCTTATAAAATGTGGAAAGAAGAGCGCTCCTGCTGCCATTGGTCAGTGCGTCGGCGTCCTAACCAATTGATGCTGTTCTCGTGAACGACATTGTGAGATTCACCCGCTGCCAGGCTGCAGCTCAAAATCACATGTGCACTACGTGAAGACCCACTTTCTTCACAGGCTTTTGACATAGGGCAGGGAGAGTAGAAGGGACATGATGATGGAAGAGACTACCGCGTATAGAGACAAGGCTGGGAAAGTTTGCTCTTGCTTTTGCAGTACATTAGAGAAGAAAGCGGTACATGAAAGGTACAGGACTACCCAGGCAAGAGCGAACAACGAAGTCAGCTGCTTAGTGTTCTGTTGCTTTGTTTGGGACAAAGACTGTATTCGCGTGTGAGAATGCCAAGGGAGCCTCTGCTGTGGGAGCCAGCTTGAAGATCAAGAAGGGCAATAGGTATGATAGGCTTCGGAGATCATGATTATCGAGTCATTGATATGAACCAGTGATTCAGTAGTGTCTGTCATCTCGATAGAAATGGTCAATCGAAGGGCCAGTGTGTAAGATGGATCACAGCAAGCAATTCTTCACAGGCTTCTGTGGACTGCTTTGGCTATCTCTGCAGACGGTACCAACTTTGAAATGATTTCACGTTGGATGCAGTAGCTTGAAACCCCCATAGATCTGCGAAACGACAGGCTATTAACAGTAGAAGTGGAAGATGAGTTTGTGTTCAACCTCTACGAAGACATGTAGAACAATACAAGACCTGTTCCAGTCATCCGTGTGTTGGAGTAGTGTGAATCCCTGCCGCTTAGCCCGGGATTGAGTGGTTTCCCTGTTGAATTGTCCCTAGCCTCCTCAATCCTCGTCAGAGAGCACGCAGCGACAGGAACCTGTGACCATCGATCAGGGCCATCAGCCACGCTCATGGTTTCTTTCGACCCATATCTGCATCTGATATGAGTACCCTTCTCCAGACACAACGTCAACAATCTCTTCCCAGTCTCGTGCTAATCTGTCCAGTCCCTGCCTGCTTGGTCCTCGTCCTTGCGCACTGTGTAGTCGATGCCAATAGCATCAAGCTGAGCCTCGGTTGCCGGCGTGAAGACGACATCGGAAGCATTGATACTCTGTTGCTCATGACCCTCCTCCCATGGCGCCTTGGTCTCGTCGCATGGCAAGTACGTCCAGTGCGACTCGTCCACGTCGTAGTGAGAGCGTCCTCAGACCAGTGTTTCGCCGTTACTGTCAGACATGACGTCCGGGGAGAGAGCCTCCTTGATAATGTCATTCGCCTTCAGGACGATGGCATTGAGAACCTCCCCTAGCTCAACATTGGAGCTCTCGTCGAAATGCATGATCTTGGCAAGTCGCCGGGCCGCTGCCTTTCCAAAGAGCAGAGACGGATTCTTCGAGGCTGCGTGCTTCTCGATATCGCGGATCGCATAGCACAGTGGACCTGCTGGTAAAGCACGTCTGTATCTGTTGATGAAGATGCGGTCGCCAACTTCCATCTGCGCCATGTACTGGCCCCATTGCGATCGAGCGACCATCTCGATCGCTGCAGCTGAGTTTGCTGTGGCTTGTGCAGCAACCTTCTTCTCGGGACTCTTGCGGACGTTCTTGGGGAGTCGATCGTATTTCGCTTTGCTCAAGTAGGTGGTGTACTTGTCGTCTCTGTTGACACCATCCCAATCTCTAGACCAGGTTTGGAATAACTCCAGCTGACGGAGATTACGTCGCAAAGTCTGGATGGCTTGCTGCTGGTACTTGAGGTTTTGAGTGGTGAAGTCGGTAAAGTCAAAGTCGGTCATGTCGAAAAGTTCGAGTAAGAATGGGCGGTGAGCCTCGTCATTGGGCCGGGCCAACATCTGGCGAAGACAGTCGAAGTAGAGCTCTTTGCTGTGAAGCTTTTCGGCCAGGATGAGGTATCGAGCTGGATCTTCCGCCACGGTTTGCCCGAAAAGAGGCTCCGAGAACAGAGCATCCAGAATCGGCTTTGTGATGCGAGGCAGACAATCGAGATACTCAGCCCTGGCGCACATCTCAACGACGAACTCGACGTGCCAGTCCAAATGCTCGGTCTTTTTGAGAGGTAGGTCGTAAGGAGGCAGATCTCGAATGATTAGTGGGCGACCATGGAGGATGTTGAAGAGGGCAATGTATTGTCGTGCAATCGTAGCGTCCCCGGGGTCGTGCTTGACAGGGGAAAGACGGCAGTTCGGCTCAGGCCAATCAATAGCGAGCACAGATTGGTCAAAGGACCAGTAGCTGTCGATATCTCTGGGAATGTCTTCAAAGGTACTGCCTTCGAGGACGAATGTGCTGTCGATAAACTTCAGCGCAATGGTGAAGACATTGGTCGGTTGGTCGTTGCCAGGAAGGAGGACTTTGCTTGAGGAGTCGAATTTGGCGATGTAGCGAGGGTCATCTCGAGATCGCAGACGTGGCTCGAGGGCTCGACAAGCGTCCTTGACAATATCCTTGTCGACGAGGATATCGTGGCGAGAGTCTCTGCTGAGCTTGATGTGTAGGTTGCCATTGGCGAGACGCAGCCGCGATGCGAGCACCTGTACTGGGTTCATGGTGCCGGTGGTGACAGGTCTGGAAGAGGTGTTTGGAGGAATGGCCGTATATAGAATAAGAGATTAGTTATATTTCGAGGTCATGAGCGTGTTGCGGTTGGTCCGTGCCTTCCTGAAAAGAGGTGAAGATTCCGGACAGAAAGCAGAATCACAAGCCGATGAGGCGGCGCTCTTTGCCGAAGTCCCATCGAGCGTTCCACGCTCATGAGCTCCACCGTCCAGAAGCTGACAGGAGACGGCAGCACTGATCATGGCTTTTCAGAAGCAGCAGGTACTGTATTTGCTTAGCTCGGTCTCACAAAGAAGGCTTTCAACTTAGGGTTTTCTCTTTGTGCTCGCAGTCTGTCGGAAGGACCGGGCTGGTCGAAATGGGTATTGTTGCTACTAATTTTCGCGTGGGTCAGCATGGTACTTACCAGACTGCTGGGAGCGCTAGCGCGAAAGGCTGGCCTCTCCTCTCGACAGTACATGGTACATTCAACCTAATCTGCGCTGGAATCTCAGAACTGACTCCCCCGTACTAGGTAGCTGTATGCATGTATAGTGGCCTGGACGTTTGTTAAAGTCCGGAGAGAGTGCAGCAAAGTCAGGAGGTGAGATCGAATTCTTGACTAGTCTATAGCGACGAGCGTGGCGCGCTATACCAGGTGAGCTTAGGCTAACTCTATTTCATTTAAGATGGATGGTTCTGTAATACTAGCCCGGAGAAAGTTGTCCTCGTGGAGCTAGTCAGCAATGACTCTGCAAATTCGCCCGCATGTGCGCGTGAGAAATTCATATCCTGCCCAGAGGTGAGAATAAAAGTCACAGATGGCCGCCTCTCTTGTCGTACCTGTCTTTCCATCACAGTACTATCTTCACAACATACAACCAACCCACACCTCACCTCACAACTCACACCACATCAGCAATCAAAATGGCCCACCTCACCCTCGCCGCGCTCTGCGCTCTCCTGCTCTCTGTCCCTGCTCTCTCCGCCCCCATCAAGTCCGACCAGGCCATCGTCCCCTATCTCGGCTCCAACGTCACCGTCGTTGATATGGGGATGGGGATGAACACCACGATGGTTGGCCGCAGCACCGAGGACCCCATCACCCTCGATGTCACGGTCTACAAGATCGAGGAGTGTGGTGGCTACCGCCACAAGGCCATGAAGCACAAGCAGCGCGTGGTCGAGAACGAATGCCACAACTTCAAGAAGAAGTTCAAGGGCGCTTGGATCCACAAGGACGAAGACAGCCCGGCGCCGGTGAACGGGCGCTGCTGGGCTTCACTTTGGGAGGGGGATGACTGTCAGGGACTCCCGTCGACGGAGTGGGTCGATGTGAGTGCCTTCGCCTCCGAATTCCGAGGCTCGTTGCTGATATTCTCTCTCTAGCTCGTCTTCACCAAGAAGGTCTGGGAGTACACCGACTCCACCTGCATCGGTAACAACGACAAGGTGAAGAGCATGCGGTTCTGGTGCAAACCTTGAGTGGTTGTGTGATTTTCGCGTGGGGCTGGATGAGTTTGCTGGCTGCTTTTTGGCACGGGCTGTGACTGTGCCGTGGGTTCGAATGGGGAATTGGCAAGCGTGTCAGACAATATGGTCAAGTCAGATCTTGCGTATATCAGATTGTGCGAGGAGCTCAGTGTGCGTGTACATCAAGACATGCCAGTTGATTGGGTGTGCCAGCATAAGCTTTACAAAGTATAAATCCGTGGAGGCTCGCATTTCCTGAACGTCGAATTAGAGTTTGAGGGTATCCACGGTACACAGCCTTACTATATTGCTGAGTAGTGCCGGGGAAGCCAATGCTATCACAATAAAAGCACATTGCCACGTGAAAGCTCGTGTCCCTGCACCGTGGGCTGGAGAAAAGTATTTCCCACCATGAAATATCCATTGCCGTCAAGACGAAATCCCGCAAGCGAGAACTTTTGATGCTGTCTCCATATATCCCCATCTCTCTGCTCCCCACAACACTCATAACAACAACATCGACAGCATAGCCCCAGGCTACATTGAAGAGACATCCTCCGAAAACCACGAACATTTCTCAAGACCATGGCATCCACGCTACCTGCGCCAACGCCACAAGACCACCTCCACCGCCTCCCAGATGAGCTCCTCGTCATGATCTGCAGCCACAACGTCCCTCGCACTGGCGCCTCTAAAAAAAAGATCAAGCAATATCTTCTTTCGCACAGTCCGAGCAAGCGATTTCGGGGATGCGCCAACGACGCCTTCAAGGAAGGCTTCACCTTGGAAGCGGATCTCGACATCCAATGCCGTGACAACTTGCGCGATCGATGGCATGTGCCATTTTTCTCGCCTGACTATCTCGATGAGAAGGCTAGTTTCATGGTTCTCGTCCAGAAAGTGGCGCTGCATGTGAAGTGTCTGCACCACAAGTTCTTCTGCCAAGGGGTTGAGGAGACAATGCGTATGGTGAGGCAGCTGAACGCAGAGACCACCCTGAAGCAGATCATGATCATGGTGGACTCTCATGATGATGACTTTGCCCAGGATCTTGCGAACTTCATCTATGCGGAGATCAGTGAGGAGTTCGCACTGCTCAACTTCTTTGGCTATGACGAGTATGCCGTGGAAGACGACCCCTGGGAATTGACCTTTTTTGGACAGCCTATTGATTTGGGAGGTCACAGCACTTTCGGATTATTTGCAGAAGCCGATGAGGACGTTCTGATGCCAACGTGGAAGATTGACACTTGGAAGTCAATGGAGGCTGTCAGGCGTGGCAGAGACTGCCCTCGGAACGAGAACCCAGAGAAGAAATGTACGCATTGCGAGAACAAGTGGTGGTGGTCACGGAAGGAGCGGACGTGGAAAGTTATCTTGGACGATGATGAGGATGGGACGGCAGAAGTAGCCGCTGAGAAGTAAGCATACCAGCAGAGCTCGTCCGACCCGCCCGGACCATGCGGCGTCTAAAGGCGCAGCTCGTTGCGATCAGGACCCTTTCCCTGGAAATGTTCAGTAGGCCATGGCAGCCAAAATTGTGACAGAGGGTCGAAAACGAAAGGAATTTGGGGATGGGAAGAGTCAATTGCGATCATGCAGCTTTGCTCAGCTCTCTATCTGTTGGCCTGCTTCTAGCCACCGACGCAATCGGCCCGTTCCATGACCTCCAAATGAACAAATCGCCGATCTCCTGTTCTCCCGGGAGCCACTAACATTCAACCCTCGCTCTCCTCCAGCGGTGGATACCACTTCCCGCTCGTGTGGAGCACCCACCATCCGGCCTTCTGTGCCTCCAGGATACGATTGGTGTCATCACTATCACATCCCAAGAACTGAGAGATACCGTTGAAGATGCCCGAGCAAGGCATCTCGCACGACAGATAAACTTCGAACCAGTCGATGATCTCCCCTAAGGTCGTCCCCGCTGGGACCCAGATCGTCTTGTTTCCATAGCCACGAGCTCCTGTCTTCCAATTCATGCCTTCAAACTCTTGTGATCGCTGCATTGCCAACGATGGGTAGTTGTGCACGTCCATGGCAATCGGCGTGGCACGGTCTGAGAGGAACGTGGACAAGTGGGCGGGAGGTAGGACTGGACGTGTGTAGCCCAAGTCGTCGGGCTCGCCATCCTCGTCCACCTCGTTGCGGATCAGTCGGAATTGGTACTTGCTGTCCCGGTATCCCTTTAAGCCGGGGCGCACCATCAGACTGTACACAGGACCTTCTTCGAGGAGACGGAAGCTGTGCCCATAGCGTCGCACAGTGATCTGCTCCGCCGTGTATTGTGGGGCTACGAGGCAGAGGTTCGGCTTCCAGACAGCGGCGCTATGAGCGTAATGACCCTCCTCGAGGCCCGTGAGGGGAAGCGCAGGATCTTGGACGAGGAACAGCTTGCGTTGAAGTGGCTTTGACGCTTTGACGACCAGGATGAGCTTGGCGTCGTAGTGCAGGCTGTCGAGTATGGCTTTGGGGTCGGATGCGAGAAGGAGCATCTCGTAGAGCTCGGGGGTATCGTAGACCTTCTGAGCCGCCGAGGGAGACGAGAACGAGGTGGGAGTAGCGGCGGAGGAGGACATGGTGTTTGGTTGTGAAGTTCGGTTTGTTTGCGACGGAGAGGAATGAAGTCGGGCTACAGCTGCTGTGGCTCAGGGTAACTCTGGAAGCCAGTCAGTTGATATGCTGCAAGTTGTGCGTTTGTATGATAGTCTGACCGAACAGAAGACTTCCAAAGCTGTTGAGATTTTGAAGGTGACGGGTGTTGCACAGTGAACTTTTCATGTGGTGTGTGTTGCTGCAACAGCGCCACTCTTCATGCTGGAAAGCTGCGGCAAATCACTTGCAAAGGCCATTCACTCCCCGAGCTTTTCTCATCGGCGATGACATCACATCGCTGATGCCCTTGGCGCCGAAGCAATGTTTATTGGCGTGCTTGACTCCTCCGACACGAGACAGATCTGTGCGTGCTGTGTTGTAGAGAGGACTAGTTCTTTCGTCGCCGTGATTGAATATCAATCCTAGGGGCCTCCTAACAAGCTACCAAGTGGGGAACAGCAAAGAAAGACGGTTCAGGGATTGGGAAAAGTTCGTTTTTGACAACGTTTTTTCGGTCACCGGTGTATTTGCGTGCCCCCTACAAATGTTTATCTACCCACACAGAAAAGACTCCTCCTCTCACGCTGAGAAGTCAAGCGGCTGACCATGACCCGCGTCGATCATCTTGGGTTTGCTCAGTACTTCTCAACCTCGTCGTTTCTCATAGCCTCCATCTCCCTGCACTCCTCATCAGGACCCCAGCCTCTGCCCTTGCTGAGAGGAGGACGCCACTCCCCAGAGACATGAAGCACCCACCATCCCAACTTGCGTACCCAAATCTCGTCGTTGGGATCTGTGAGGACGCTCCACTTGAACTGGCAGATGCCATTCATGACATCGGCTCTGCTCATCCCTCCCGCGAGGTTGACCTTATACCAGTGGATGATGTCTCCGAGAGTCGCTCCGGCAGGTACCCAGATGTTCTTCGTGCCGTAGAGGTGAGCCTCGTATCCTGTCTTCGTATCCTCGTCCTCGTCGTCATCATCACCAAATTCCCATGGCTTCCAAGTCGTGACCTCGGCGTAGTTCTCCAGGTGCATAGAGATTGGCGTGGCACGATCAGAAAGGTTCATGGACAACCAAGCAGGAGGGATGGTCGGGATCGGTGGATGTTGAGGTTCTGGCTTCTCGAACCGCGTGAGCGTGAACGACCAAGGACTCCCGGTCTCGCCTGGGAGACGGGGACTCAACTCCAGCCAGTACTCTGGCCCGTCCTCGTTGAGTTTGAAATAGTTTTGCTTGGTCCAAGGGCTGTCGTACGACCAGAGGTCCCGACTGGAAAGGGAATGCTCCGAGAAGAAGATTATGTTGGGCTCCCACACCGCGGCACTGTGTGGAAACTCTGCTGGGTCGCGGTCCACAACATCGATCTCCGGTTCCTGCGTCAGGAAAAGCTTGCGCTGGAGGTTCTTCGAGGCTTTGACTGCTTGAATCATCTTGGGGTCGTTGTGAAGGTTCTGGAGGATCTCGTGAGTGCTTAGGTTCAGCAGAATCATCTCGTAGAGTTCGGGTAGGTCGAAGACCTTTTGAGCAGCCGAGGTGGAGGGGCCTGGATGTGCGATCGTCATATCGGCGGACACGGTGGTGTTTTGCTGAGGGTTGAGCTTGGATTGAGATTCTGTTGTTTTGCGAAAGTTGATGTTGGTTGTTGCTAGCTCAGAGGTTCGTTCGTGATTCGCAGGAAGTGTGCAGACTGAGTCTGGCAGAGCAGGACCGAGCACGTTATATAGTAATTTTAATCGTTGTGTCGTATAATGCGTTCTGTGTTGTCGCAGCAATGTGTGGCTTGGTACAACACATTGTCACTCCTGGTGGATGCAAACTGTCACTTGTCTTGTGGAAATCCAGGAATGACAATGCCTTTGTGATGCCGCGGGCATTGGAGCACGATGCTTCCACTTGCAGTGGCCGCGGAGCTGTCAAAGTAGAATTTTGAAGCGTTCGTCCTCAATCAGTCTCCCCAATTGGAGTGCAAACTACGCATGGGCGCACCCCTTGGTGATGCGGGTTTCCGTCGATCTGTGATGGGGAGTAATGAAGACAATTTGAAGGAAGACTGAAGCACGCGATTTGCGTGGAAGTCTGCTCAAGAAGCGCATCCCAATCGCCATATCTGAGATGTAGACTCCGCTTCTAAGACGTCAGACACTATTGGGTCTCGAATTTCTCTGCGACAAAGAGTCGCACATTCTGAGAGCGGATCAAAGACTGGGTCTTGATATGACTCATGTTATCTATGATAGTAGATGTCAGTACATGAAACTGTTTATAGGAAATACTTGCAGATCACAGAATGTCCGGTAGAATCACAATTTCAGTCTATCTCAGTCTCGCCGCTCCTGTCCTGCAGCCTATCATAATCTTACAGCTTCTGTCTTGCCGCCGTAGTCCCTGTGATCTTCTGTATGTTGGGGTCAGACCCTCACGAAGCAGAAGTGTTCATCTTGCTGACGTCCCAGCCAGTGGCAAAGAACTTCTCGTACCACTCAGCCGACTGACCGAAGATAGACGGAACCCCATTGCAGGAAAGAGACGCTCTCTCGTTGGTGGATTGCTGACATCGTGCTCGATACTCCCTCTGGTACTCTCGGAAGACCTCGAGGCCTCTCTCATTCTCCAACTGTCGAAGGCGCTGCTGCGGCGATAGATCAGCCTCCTGTACCCGAAGAAGCTCACAGTGCTCCTCAGCCCAGCGAGCAAGGTCGCCGACAGTGGTACCTGGACCAGCAGTCTTGTACCAAGGCTCACGCTGGAACACGTTGCCACTGTTCTTTTCCGGGTCTCTGAACTCGATTCGAAACTCCGTAGCGCGGTCAGTGAGCATCATCTTGGCAAATCCCTCGGTGAGCATGCGAGGTGGGCGATAGTCCGTGCGGTATGGCTCGATCGTGACATGAAGGATGCGGTAGGTGTGGTTGAAGAGCTGGGTTGGGTTTGTGGGGCGTCCGTCGTTCGCAAAGGTACCCCTGGTGAAGGTCTTGAGAGTCACACACATGTCGTCGAGGATCTCAGTGCGGAAGACAAACTCGCTGCGGTTGTCTGGAAGCAGCACACGATTTGGCTCCCACTTTGTGAACTCGTAGGCCTCGTTGCCGGCAGGGACTGTGTAGGGGAGCTCTGGGAGCTGCTCGAAGTAGAGCTTGCGTCGCAAAGCTTTCGAGGCGTAGACCTCCTTCGCGGTGTTGTGGCCGTCGAGGTTGTTGAACAAGGTCTTGGGATCCATCTGGAGATAGATGTTCTCGCGAAGCTCGGCGATTCCCCAGACTCGCTGGGCTGCGGTCAAGTTCTGCGTCATGGTTGTTGGGTTTGATGAAGCTGTTCTGAGGTTGGAGCTGTCTTGTACCAGTTGCTGATGTGGATTTTAAGTGGAGCCTGCTCCAGGGTGGGTGATTGTGGGAGTGTGGGAGTGTGTGATAGTAGGATGACAGGAAACGGTGGTACTTTTGGGGGTTATATAGGCCGCTGCAATCGAAGAACATCCACGACGCCGTATACAACACTCATTGTGTTCAATGCTGAGGCTTTGTCTTCACAATCGAGGCCCGCGTGCACAATGCCATTGTCATTGGCGGACAATGATGCACAAGAGAGCGTTGGGGCTTATCAAAGGCGAAATGTCATGAGAGGGGAGGATCTCCTGGAAACAGACTCAAGCAGAGCAACCATGCTCTCAAACCCCTATGCCAATGCCATTATGCCCGTCGTTGAAGGTGGGAGTCTCTCTGAATAACCTCATGCCACTGTGGCAAATGCATTCTTCCGCAATCTAGAAGCATGCTCTGGTAGTGATTGTTTCCCTGGGGGCACTGTCGCTGCTGCAGCAGTTGCTCATCCCTGACAACCGAAAATTGCACTTGATGTCCTTGGAATCGTATCGCACACTACCAGGTGCATGAAGATCTTGGTGCGCAGCTTCCTCGAGCCCAGGATGACGCCTTTGATGAAGTTGGTGACCGCTTGGGCCTTGGTGATATCCTCCTGGCTTGGCTAAGGATGGAGAGGATGGCTTCGACGAGGTCCGCGGTGGAGAAGACGGCGCTCGCGGCCGGGGAGATTGCTGTCTCGTCTCTCGGGGATGCCATCGTTGACGCGACTGTTGGTGACTATGTCGAGGGCAGAGACGATCGCAATGTGCTGGGGTTGAGGTTATGAAGGTGAACAAACGACGAGCGCGGGACAGGCGAAGAGCGGCCGCCGATGCTGCGAGACCGCCACAGCGCCCGGGCAGTGCCGAATTCGACTTCCTTTTTGAGATTCCTCTCCCAGTTTCCTCTCCCCCAACAAACCTCTCAAACACAACTTGCATGTCACGGTCCTGAATATTGTTAAGGGATAGAGTAGTGATCTGTATAGCAAGTTCACAGATATCAGAATGTTAGTAAGCGCCCTCACTCCAGAGCGGCGAGCTGGGCTAAGGGCAGAAGTGAGGACGGGTCGTGCGACCTTCAATGATATTGTTTCCTCTCCAGCGCGTCAAACTTCTTTGTGCGCAACACACGACACACCTCACTATCAATTTCACATATCACGCGGCCATATTTCCATCCAAGAACTTCACTTCTTCCCACAAACTACATTCTCTCTCCACAAACGCACAGCTGGCCATGGATCTCATCCACTGCAACGGCGTCGTCTCCTCCCTCGAGATCTCGAGAACATCCGGTACGAACGTCCTCCCGCTCTTATCACTAACCGCCGACATGAAGCTAAAGGTCGCCTCGGCCAACCTCAAAGCCACCCACGACAAAATTCGCCGCCTCAAGCGCGAACTCGCAGAGGCCCAAGAAGATGACGCCAAATTCCAAGCGCAGCAGAATCTCGACATCGCCATCCAAGCTCTCGCAGACATGAACTTCGACACCAGCAAGGACAACGACGGCGAGGAGGATCTGGTGGATACTGCGATGGAGATGGAGCTCTTCCAAGAATCGAAGCTCAAGGCCGCCACCAAAGCGAGCGAGGAGGAGGAGCTGTTGCAGAGCATGCGGAACTTGGGCCTCAAGTCCAACCGTCGTACTCGTGACCAGCAGCGCCGCTCTGGTGGTATCGACAAGCTCAAGCGTTACGATCCCAAGAAGAGTGGGCAAGACATCGCGAGGAAGAAGAAGGACTTGACCCGTGCTGTTACCGCTGCTGCTGCGCAGGGTCTCGAGGGTATGGGGAAGCAAGCCGTGGAGATGCACATTCCTGGCGTCGGCATCGTGATGGGCAAGAAGACGGCACCCAGATTGACAGATTGGTCTTAAGATGATCGATTGAGGGTGAGGAGGATGGGGTGAAGATGTCTTGGTGGGATTGGCAGAACCGCACATGGTGCTCCAGCTTGTTTTGTGCTATGAGACTTGGATGGAGGGGGTAGCATAGACTGGAAACGAATGACGATATCGCGCAACTTCGCACAACAACATGGTTTCAATACCGATAGCTTTTCATACTGACTTCCTCGTGATAGTCTGCATTTGCCAAGAAGCCATCGAGAGGCCAGATATTTCCGCCACGTGGTATGCACAGGACGACAATTGATTGTTGCAATAGCACCATCCGCCATGTGAGCGGCTGGGAAATTTCATCGTGATCCAGCAGAAAGCAGTTTGCGCCCCTCAGCATTCGATTGCGCGACCCTCAGTGATCCTGGGGTGTGGTTTACAGAGCCGATAGCTGAACGCGTACTTCGTGGACGAATGCGAGCCCAGACAACGGGTGGCCCTTCTCATGCCATGATATAGAACTCGGTTATCCTTCTATTTATACCCAGATCTCAAGGCCCAAGGCGAGCATGACGTCGGCGCGGAACATTGAAGCCGCGAGACGCTCGTCACGTGTAGCTAAGGGAGCGGAAGCCGTGGACCTTCATAAACTAAAAGTTGGTGTAGTCCTTCGCCTTCGGGCACTTGGTCAAAATATTGTAACAATACAGAGAAGATTAGCATGGCCGTAAGTTCGAACCGCGTTCAACCAAGCTGAAAATTATAACCAACATCATTTCAGCCTGCACTAAGGATGACACATGCGAGCAAAGTGAAGCTAAAAATTTTTTTTGCTTTTGTCTCTTCGTAAATAATTTGAGTGTTCTTTAACATGTGCTTGGTAGTATCGAACAGCAGGCGAGTTGTTGTTTTTTGCTGCGTTTGAGCACCACCTCTGCGAGATACCTCAATGCTGCTTTCCCCTGCTTTTCAATCCTATGAATGCCATTCATTTAGTGGAAGCGGCGTGCATGAGATCGATCGACACAGGAAGAGTTCCAAATCTTGGACTCGTGTCGTGGCGTAACTTTCGATCAAAGTAAAGGCATCGCGTCATGAAATTGTGCACGCAGCTGCCGAGGACGAGCTCGGGGCAATTCAGTCTTGAAGCTGCCGAAGGTTTTCAGGACAAGACTATCTCATGAACGATCAATTCTTGCTATCAGACCTCGTCTTTACGTCTGGGTTCGCGAGTCATCCCATGCGATTACGAGCGTTATCAAAAGAAGTCGAGTCGTCTACGCTGCAAGTCGCTGCCCCGATCTCCGCCCTCTCAGCTGCCGCCGTCCGGCGACCGTACGACCAACAATAACATCAGCGGCAACATCCCCTAAGCCACCACACCGCCGTACCATGGCGTCCTCCACGCAGCGCACGCCAACAACATTCTTAAGCCTGCCAACCGAGATTCGCTTCAAGATTTACCATCTCGTGTGCACACCGACTGAAGCTGTGGTCATCGATGCCTGCCGCCTGCCTCCAGGACACACAGAGGAGTGGATCTTCTTGCCTCAACAATCCCCCGGCATTGTCGAAATCAACCGTCTTCAAGTATTCCCCAGCCTCTCCCTCACCTGTCGCACCATCTACACCGACCTGTGTGCCGAGTTCTATCACCATACGCACTTCACCATCCAATGGTGAGGCATCAGAGGCCATATCACATGTCCTGATACACTGTGTGATGAGTGCGGGATGACTCAGTACTCCTGCTGCGACGACTATCGCAGACGTCTTTCGGGTCCACGCTGCACCTCCGCCATGATTGAGAAGATTCGCTACCTCAATCTCGAGCTACGCACCCACAACAACTTCCGCAGCACTGGAATCCCGTGTGGCGAGATGGAGTTCAGAGCGCATGGCACGATGAGGTCGAACAAATGGGAAGTCAGAAGCTCGAAATAGGGTGGGTCTATCCGCCACCAGAGGGCAAGAGGTCGAGGAAGTATTTCAAGAAATATCGCAAGGCTTTGAAGAGAGGAGAGAGGCTCGACGCTCGGATACCTACATTCTTCGCCGACATGTCTAAGTCCAGGATGGAGAAGCTTGTCGAAGTTATCAAAGCTGAAGGGCACCTGCAGGTGGAAACAAACTCAAGATGGGATTGCGGTCTCGGAGCGAGGTTCTGGCGCCAATGGCATGCTGAACGTGGGAGGGCTCCAGTGCGCGTAGAAGATGGGTACTGGCGGGCGATGTGGTAGAGAGTGTTGGGAAGAGGGTGGGCGATCGCGATAGTCGGCAACATATCACGCCTTGGGATGAATACTCGGGCGAGAGATGCCTGCGTTGGACTGGGAGGAGTTGATACGCGTCGTTCAAGATGAACGGCGTCGTCGCGCTCATCGCCGCGTACGCCATCAACGTACTTGCCACTCCATAGGTCGGTCCTGCTATGAATCTACTTGTCCTGAAATTGCAAGGCTGTCTGACTACCACTTTGTGTCCAATCCCCGGCTGGTCCACAAAGTGCTGTACTGTTGAGCATGGAAGTCCTGTGTCTCCTGCCAGCAAACGGGGAGACCCAACGCATTCAGAATTCACGATAGACTCCTCTTATGTGATGCATCGGTCATCCCAAGACATAGCCATAATCAATAAAGATAACGTGCAAGACAGTCCCTGTTGCGTATCCAAGATGAAGTATCACGCTGGTACAAAACGTAGAGCTGCGCAGCTACGACACTCTGAGCACGCGTACGAATGGTAGACCACGCTCCGAAAGAGTACGTATCTGGGAGCGTTCCAGCGGCTTCATAAAGACATCTTCGTGCTGAGAACTCTTTACAGCACCAAAACGAAATGTCGCCTTCTCGTCACACTTCGCGAAGGCCATGACGTCCCCTGTGCGTGCCGCTCCCCCTCCCCCTTCCCCTTCTCCCCCTTCGCCTCCCGCTTTCACCTCCGGGCGCTTCGAGAAACCCATGGAAGCGCTGCCGCCTAATGACACGTCACCGTCGACGTCACACTGACGCCCCTGAAGCTCCTTTCACTGCGTACTCGTCAGTCTAATGGGGTGTTAATGGCAGCACGCTAGCGACTCCTTCGAAATATAAATATTTTCGAAATTCCCTACTCAAGCCTCTTCTTTTCTCTCCAGCTTACTTTGCCTTTTGGTCAGTAACATACCCTCTCTCATCCCTCATCCCTCATCCATTATCCATCATCATCAACCATGACTGACACCCATCACAGGCTTAGGTCAAGTTGCAGTATCTGTTCTTTTTCGGTTTAATCTCTGAAAACGAGTTTCCCGACTCATTCAAGATTAAATTATTTTTGGCACTGGTTCTGCGGCCTCTGAGCTTGCTTATGTCGCAGGGCACCGTCTCGCTGGCATTGTACTGCCGCCAGCTGACGCGAACCTTTTTATCTTTTCATCGATCGCGTTGCTGCTGTAGCGAGTTGAAGAAGAGTCTGTTTGTCATGATTGATCGTGGTGTTGTGGTGTCGCGTTGATGCGGTCGCGTTGTTGTGAGTCGCTGACGCGACGGCGTTTGGCATTGGGTGCTGGCCTTCGCCTCTTCCACTCACGAGAATGTGTTCAAGTGAAACCTCCCAGTGCGGTACGTTCAAATGAGTTTATTCGCTGCGGCAGTCTTTCTTTCGCGTTTTGACTGCGTACTGTATCCGTCGTTGAGCGCCCGCGCCGGCGCGAGACCTCCCTGTGAAAACGCGTGCCTTCCCGCGGAGATCGATCGACTTCTGGTTCACCGGGCGCGCCATATCTGGTCGGCGTTGGCAGTCATTAGGGTTGGCGATCTGTGCGTGCAAGTTGAATATATCCAAACACTTGAAGCAATACGAGAAGAGGCTGACGGCAGCTCAACCTTGATCCATTCAGCATAGCCCGAGACTGACTGGCGAAGTCCGCTGATCCTCCTCGATCCACGATGCTACCTTGAGCGAGAGCCGGTAGTACGAGATTCAGTTTTCACGACACGACGCTGGTCACCGACGAGAGATCTCTTCATACGCGCGAAGGTGGCCGCACTGGCTGCTGCGGACACGAGAAGACTGAAGACGCCGCGCAAAGCTCCCTCGGGTCAGTCGCCGGGCATCAACATGGCAGATGCAGGAAGAGCCTACGGACAAACAGCGCGTTTTACCACTCGAGAAAGGCGACGTGAGGGAGGGGCGGCGAGAGCAGAAGAGATGACAAAAGAAGAGAGATGCACAGCACCACCCGAAGTCGTAAGTCTGCGGCCGTGTTGTCTTGCCTGGAAGAGGACAAACCAATGATGAAGACAGTGCTGGCCTGATACTCTGCGAGTCGTTGCCAGGCAGGATCGATCAGGACGGCTTCCGAGCACCTGCCACGGATGCTCAGCTCATTGATGGGCCACAAACTCACAGCAAGCAGCCTTCTCCCGCGCCAGCAATCGATCGAGTTCTTCCGAGACCACCAAATACAGCACGAGCGCAAGATACCCGAGTGCTCCAGCAGGCGAGACAAAAGACAGCTCCTTCTTATCACGTCGCCAGACCAGGAAGGGGGTGACAACAGGGCCAATGAGGCGAATACCGAGAAGAGAGAGCCTAGCAGTGTGCAAACGGTGGGGAGGCTTTCACAGGTCATACTAGAAAGTAGCTTAGTATCCTTATTTGTGTTGAGCATGCAGAAAGAGTGGACTGCAAAAGCTGTTTCATTCACCTATTTGACCCGCTAACTTTCACGGCGAAAAGGTGAGCACAGAAATCAGTACGTCTCACCAGTCCGAGCTCCGTACATGACAACTGTCTTCCCACCGTCGTAACCACTCACCCGACCCTCGACAGTGCGCATCTTGTTGTACTGCGACCAGCGCTCCGCCCACCACCCACCACCCACCACGCACTGTTGGCGCCAGCCTCCCACCCTCACGTAGCCATGGCATTCGTTCGGCGCGAGTATGAGGCCCCAAGTATCCGCGACAAGAGCATGGTATACAGCGACACCAAGAGATTCGTGAACAGCAATTTCGGCGACACCGTCCGGCCGATTGTGGTCGGCGACATACTCCCAGACACGGGAGACAGGATGACGAGAAAGTTCGTGCGTGCAAAACTAGGCATTGCCATCAGCGTGAAGGAAGCGAAGGAGTCCAAGAGCATGGAAACCCAGGAAGCGATGGACAGATGGTTGTTTGATCGTAGACTTTTAGCATGGGAAGATGTTGGCGCCGACGGCTGGTTCGGAAACTGGAGTGGTTTGAGCGACTGGGAGATATTCTGGCAATGCAATAGTGCAGGCTTCTCGGATAGGTTCAAGTACACCCCAGGTGAGGAGCTGAGCGAATACTGGGAGTCCCTCTTCACGATCACGCAAGCGCGAATCTTCGTGCGGAAAGGCGTGCGCCGGAGCCTGGCTCCGGGAATCACCTGGAGGCCCAAACCGACGTCGAAATTGCAATCCTCTCCCCAACAGCGGCACGATTCGCAGTCCAACACAACATCTTCGAGCAATGTCGCCGTCAAGTCGACCGCTGTCCATACAGCGGGTCGAGGCCTCTTCAAGTTATCCACCGAGCTGCGCAATTCCATCTACGAAATGACCATCCGAGATCCGATTGGAGAGAATCGAGTGGTTTACGTCTTTCCATCGCTCCCCGGAATATCCTGCTTCTCGCCCAACGCCTACCAGCAATGCCGGGACCCAGGAATACTACGGACCTGCAAGAGAATCCGCGAAGAGTCGATGCCCATCTACTACACCAATCAGAATATCGTCGCCGTTATGCCACCACTCTCCCGGCTCCGTGTGATATACAACCCGACCGCGCACTTGCAGCCCCTCCTGCCCTTCATGAGAAACCTGGACGTGTTACACCGCTTTAACTATAACGACCACATCAAGCATTCCGAAGAGCAGCAGGCCCAGCCCCATTATGGCACTGCGACCGTCGTACTGCAGCTTCGTGGGGACTCGTTCTCGACCGCCGTGTTCGTAGACGCTGCCACGAGCAACGAACGTGAGAGAGCCCAGAACTGTTGTGATGGAAGCAATCTAGATTCCATCTCGAGAGGCGTGGAGGCGATGGAGACTGTGCTCACAGAGGCTATGAAATCCCGTGTGATCACGAAGCAGGGGGACTCGATGTACAAGTGGATGAAATTCTCAAGGATGGCGATGAACCGAGTACAAGACGAATGGGACGAGGCCATCAGGGGCTGATGCTCAGCATGTGGTGTTCAAGCGGCGCCGCTAAGGTGGCTGGGCGGCGGCAGGACGCAGCTGTTCGAGCGCCAGAGCAGTGGGTGTCCCACTTGAAGAAGAGTAGAAGGGCTTACTGCATCGAGGACTGTGGTCAAGGCGAAGATGTCGAGCTCAGTTAGAGCAGATTAATATGGAGAAGAGGACAGCTCAAGGAGTAATAGAAGGAACCGGAAGCTCGGGATGTCGAGCTCGTACAAGATATAGATATGGAAAGATCCCAATTCCTTGCATGTCTTCCATGGCAAGACATGAACTGCCCACGACTCGCCAGTCACTTCGCCAATTGAGAACCCAGTCAGCTTTGCTAGCTTGCTTCATTACTGCTCGCTTCCTGCCCCAACCCTGATCCCCGTGGATGCCAGCATGCGCAGAGGCCTGATTGCCAGCACATGACTGGAATTTACAGCAGCTGGAGGAATCCCACCTTGCCATAACATCGCGTCCGCGATCGCGGAGGCTTACAGGCTGCTGGAAATTTGATGGCGTCTTCAGCATCTGCGACGGCTGCGTGACTCTGACAGCTGGAGGCGCCTTGAGTTCTCCTGACGGCTCGCAGCGCCACAGGGTTTTATATCCAACGTCCTCCAAGCTGACGGAGTCTCGTGTTCATTCCCTTCTTCCGGCACGGATTATCCGTGCTCTGATAACCTTCAAAATGTTGCATTGTCCCTCGTACGTCGACTCGTGGTACGATGGCCTCGATGTCAACTCACCAGCCGCTGGGTCGGGTGACGAACATTGAGCCAGGCCGCCAGTGTGATCATCCCCCCTCTTCCACCCGAAGTGCTGCGGGTGTTCTCATTTCTAAAGGCCTTGTTCGATTCTTCCCCCTGCTCTCTAGTATATCTCCTGCCAGTCATCTCCACTCAACCCTCTCCTTTGCCTCTTTCGTCTGCTGCATCATAGCTCCTAATGCGCCAACTGAGATTCCCATGCTCTTTCGCCTATTGTTCCCTGTGCCTTCAAGCTGTGCAATCCAGGAGCTTCCAAGCAACAGCACTTATATCTCAGGAGGGTCTCGCGATGACTCGGGTGGGCGGGACCGTGTGCGGCTGCTCCTACGACTCAGCTCTGCTGTAGCGAAGCCAACCGGTCTGCCGTGGACTCGAGGATGGGTGGCTCGATATTTCACGAGCGGTCCTCAGTGTATATGGTGGCAAGGCGATTCTTCTGGCGAGCGTGTCTGAGGAGGGTGGACGGAAGCAAACAAGTTCCGCGACGGTCATATGGGTGAGACAGCTCTGAGGTTGGTGTGAACGGATTCGCGACCGACTATCCGGGTGTCGTCGATGGCGCAGTTGATGGATATGGCCTCCTTGCGGAGTGGGAAGGGAGGTCGTCACGGGAAATTCATCAGCATTCGCGATCTTGAAGCGACGGCGGGATGAAGGTGGGCCATACGTGACTTTGTGAGCAGACGGTCTCGCCGTCTCGCCCAAATCTTCGAGCGTGGTGAGGGCATGAAGAGGTTGATGGCCATTAGAGTGCCCGAACATTCGGAGTGGCGGCGTGATCTGACTACCAAGGAGACCCCACGGAGTGATCGAGCCTTGAGTCGTGTGGTTTCGAAAGGCAGAAATACGACTTCCAACATGCCCGTTAAAAGCGCTTTGAGCAACCAAGGTCGATCGCCGTGCGGCCACCACCGCATCATCACCACCACGACTGTCTCTTCTCCAACCATCAGCAGACGCTGATGAACTGATGAAAAAGAACACACTCGAAGAGTGGAAGCCAGCAAAAATTGCGGACCAAGCGCAGCCGAAGCTGAACTCGCGAGGCCAGTCTGCCGCGCTGTGCAATGCAGAGACCAACCAAGGATGCGCCCATTCGTGTGCGGCGCGCACTGTGATCATCTTAGCATGTGTTCGAAGTGGCAATGTGTAGTCACGGCTTATCCGCCCGTTGTACGTATGAAGAGGAAAGAAGAGTGCCGGAGAAGCGTCGTGAAGCGAAGTTTTATGAGCGCGGCTGGTCCGTGCGCCGAGGACCAGTGTGACGTCGTTAGCTTTGAGCGAAGGAGGCCGACAGAATGGACATTTGGCGAGCGGAGAGAAGGTCTGCAGCGCGTGGTCTTGGCTGAACTGTTAGCGTGTGGAACAATCATCGAAGACGGATTGATGCACGGCAAAGAAGACCTTCAGCCCGCCTGACCTATCCGCGATGATCCGCAACCATGGCTACGTACCAAGAGCCGAGGATTGGCGGCTCAGAAGACGTTCCAAGACAGACAATAGGGAACGACTGCTCTAGTACAAATCGCAACACCTTCAGCTCGCAAAGACCAAGGACTGCGAAGCGCGGACGCTGTTGCCAAAACTCTGACGTGCAGCTCGCGGCGCCAAATTCCTTTCAGGGTCGTGTACGGGCTGGTCACCCGGCAGGAAGTCAACATGGGCAAATTCTCAGGGTCGGAAACAGGCTCTGGCAGGAGAAAATTGCACTGCGATCCATGGCAGGGACTGTGCTCTTGAACAGCCGAATACGATATCTGCGAAGACAACGGAACTTCAGCGGTCGAAGAACGACGCCGTGGTGGCTGCTAACTTTACCTCCAGAACGGAACCGGGCCCGAACTTATTCAGGGCCTTCGAAAGACAGCACAACCTGGAACCTTTGCACGTTCGGGATCGAGATCATTGAGTCGAGCCCTGTCCATTGGTCTTCGCACATTTTCAGCTTCATCTCACAGAGACACTTCTCTTCGGACCCGTATGGCTGGATATATCAAAGACGATCGCATCCTTCACGGCCTTGGTTTAATTGCGAAAGGAGGGGTTCTGTCTACGGAAGTTTCGCTGCCGGCCATCGTCTTCCCGTTTCTGGATCAAGGATTCTGCTATCTGCTTTGCGATCTGAGAATGATGTCAGTTTTCTTCAATTGTAACTGAGGTCAGGCGATGTGAGGTGAGGTTAGGTGAGGTGAGATTTAGCTTCACGCACGAGTCGCACCATGTGGATCTTTGACCCATGCTAGCGAGACGCTTAATTCAACCTCACCTCCCGCTTTCACAACTAGCTAGGAAAACGATCTTCAAGGCATATTTGCGACACCATGTTGGGCAGAAAAGGTAGTCGCATCAGCAGCGTCTGCGCAGAGTAGGATCGGTGGAGGGTTTCAGTTATTGTAAGTTCCTGCTCCCCGAAGTGTCATGCAATTTGCGTGACAACGGACTTCTTTCCGGGACAGAAAAGCCGAAGCTTGAAGGTTCGGCAGGCATACCAGTCGGCGAGCAGGCGCATGCCGTGGAAAGTTCACAATTTCTCGATTTAGCTTTGGCTGTCGCAGGGGGAAGAACTTGGTCAGGCGCTGTCAATCATGCTCTTCCCAAGCTCCATACGGAGGGACTCTTTGAATCACATCTAGGTGTACCGCTCGACTGGAGCAGTGGAACATGGGCAGGACGCACAAGTTGTGTTGTTGCTCGTGGAAGGCTGCGCCTTCGCTATACGTATCTATCCAAAAGAAGCAGTTGGTGTCGAACAAGGCTGTGACGAAGTCTGTCGACAGCAGTCGCCGCTATTGCGATCAAGAAGATGTCTCTCCCCAAGACTTCCCTAAGGACTATTCCAAACTTCCAGAAAGGCTGTGTGCGCTCAAATAGCACCACTGTGGCATTGACCTGTCGAATCCTACCGTGTCCCGAGCGATAGCCATCAACCCTCCAGTCGCAGACTCTGTCGATCTTCGCGGCGACTGCGATTTTAGGTCGTGCTCGTCGTTGGTCATGGACTGTATCCACCTTCTGAAATTCTCCCTAGAAAGTCCCAGATATCTGGAAGCAGTTCATGAGGCGTCTCCCATGCCGGAAAATGGCCCCCATAAGAGTGCACATAACGAGTCTGTACGTTGCCGGTTCTCTGAGCCCAGTTGAGCGGCTGTGAAGTCATATCAGCTTGAACTATTACTGAAACCAGAGTCACGAGGTAAAAGACCACGTACAGTTCGATACCATATATCTTTAGGAAATTCGGAGATGGCCATCGGCCGATCAACGAAGGGCAGGTCTTCGAACGAGTCGATAGTAAAAGCTCCATCCTAGTCTTGATCAGTCTCTCCGCAGTGAAACACTTCGAGCAGAATACGAACCTTCGAGCCTTCGTGGTAGAGTCTGAAGGCCGCATAGGGTCCCTGAATCCAGTGCATCATCGTCCAAGTGATGACAGTCTCGGGCGTCCAGATCTCTGGATTCTCCACAGCTGCGAACATACCATCGAACATCCACATCGCCAGACCCACCGGACTGTCTGTCATGGCATGCGCCAAGCGGAGTGGACGGGTCTGTTGGATTTGACCGTAGCCCCACTGATGCGCGACAAAGCCTGTCATCGATTCGATAACGTGGTTCTCATCAGGTGTGGTCAAGTTCATTGCATACCGCTCGAGATCGGTGGAGTTGGGATAGACAAGCCAGAAATTGTTTAGCCCAGCCAACACAGCTTCGGGATAGAAATGCGCTTGGTACCGCATAATAATGCCTCCTGCATCGCCGGCTTGCATCACGTATCTGCTGTACCCGAGCTGTTGCATGAGGCCGTTGAATGCGTGCGCACAGGCGATGTAGCCGAATCCTGTCGTAGAGGGCGCTGGCGAAAAGCCATATCCTGGAATTGACGGCGCTACGACGTGGAACGCTGGGAGAGTCTCGTTCGTTGGGTTGGTCAGGTCGTCGATGATGTTTTCTACTTCAATGAAAGATCCCGGCCAACCGTGGATGAACAAGAGTGGCACAGCGTCTGGTCTGGGCGAAACATGGTGGACGAAATGGAGAGGCAAATCGATTGGCCGTGTCCACTCTGGTCCGGGTCGAATATTCATCGTGAATTGTTGAAGCCTTAGATGCATTTCTTGAGACAATGAAGAATCGTGGCAGTTGAGCGTGCGACATACCTTTGATTGAGGCGGTCTTGCACCGCAAACCAGTCATATTCGTGCTCCCAGTACGCCGCGATTGCAGTCGAGTTCTGAACCGGCGGACCCTCTGCCAAGACGTCTACGGCCTCCAAAGGTGCGACAAATCTTGTCAGAGAGACTTTCTGGCAGGTATAGTCAATGAACTCTGGGTCCACGTCAATGCGAAAAGGCTGTGCTTGGTCGGTAAAGGAGGGTCGCCGGGGAAAAGTGGCCACGCAAACGGCTGCCAAAAGTTCAACAAAAACAATTACTCGCATCGCGCCAGACATTTTTAACGAAGCGTCTGGGCGATGAATCAGGACAGGGGAACGTCGAAAGATCCTGCCCGAGTCTCCTTAAAGTTACGTCTTAAACGGATTTGTAATCCAACAGCCCTGCCAAGACTGAAGGATTTTGAAGCCGGCTTTCCCAAGACACTCTCGCCCATTGTGGTACCGCTTTCGACAATTCTGCCACCGCTCTTGACCGTTCGTCGTGATAACTTTGGAAGATTGAGAGTCTAGGTCCCAGTCATTGATGTTTCGAAGCAATAGCTAGGTGCAATGTCACTGCACGCAGCAGGGCCAATATACCACCGGCGAGCGGCGGATGTGGGCCCTAAATCCTTCAGCCGATGCCCGGCGACCTGCGAAACTCGCTCTGAATGTTGTGAGGGTTTGAAAGTTTGAAAGGAGTATCCTGTACTTGGGCTCGCCTCTGACGTCTTCGTTAACATATGTTTAGGCGCTGTCAGGAAAAAGCCATCCTTCGCCATAGTCTTTCCCATCCTTCCCGTGCATCTGCCATCCTGCCCACAGCTCCTTCGAATGCCACCCAATTCGTTCCATTGACTTCTCATCTCTTGCTCTCCAATAATATCTCCGTTTCTTTGTCGTGCAAGGCTCTCGGATATCTTGCATGGGTGCCATCGCCAATCGAGCAACAATCTAGGGCTGGACGGCGCTTTCGGTCGGCGAGGGCATATGTAGGTGTTGCAGCAATCTTATTGGGTTCTTTTCGAATCAGCTCGCTCCCTGCGAAGTTGCATCCTGAGCTGGCAAGAAGGCACACCTCACTGCTTAAAGATGCTAAGGTGAGAGCGTCGAGGTCCGCGTGTGTTCAGCTGCTTTGGCTCCTTCGGCGTGGTGCCTTTGTCGAGGAGGATGGCGCTGCAGAACTTCCGCAAGCAGGACTTGTCGCCATGGACGAGTTCGCGCCCTTCTCTTTGTCTTCCTCGACAATGCCTCTTTGAACAAGCCGTCCACCCACGCGACCTACGAGAGTCAGTCTATTCTTCTGTTGAGAGCTGAGATTTACTTACCAGATGCTCAGCTGCCCAGTGCTTCTCAAGCCCACTTCGATAGCCCTTGGCTGCCTCGTGCGGCACAGCCCACATTCCAGGCGAGAGTGCGCTCAGACCGACCGTGATGATCTCGAACGAGCCCGCACCACGCGCGAGTGCCTGCCGGATTGCCTGTTCCGTGATATTTGCATGTCCGTCGCAGAAGCCCTTGAACTTGCTTGGCACAGTATACGAGTCCTCGTCCGTGCCTCCCAGGCGACTCTCCCAGCGCACAGCTTCCGTCTTCTTGGCCTTCGAGAGGCCGATTTGGATTTCTGCATCAGTTTCAAACGCGTCGCCTCTCCCGCCACCCACATAGCGCACGATCATGTATCCCGTCGCCAAGGTGATGTCGCAAACGTTGCGGAGTAGCTTTGCAGCGGCATGGATCTTCTGACTGCCGGCGAGAGGGTTGTACGAGTCCGAATGGTTGATGATAAGCACCTTGGCACATCGTCCAAAGGCGTCGTCGACCTCGTCGCGGACTTGCTGGGATATCTGTCTGAGCGTGAGTAACCATAGCAGCTCCGTCGCGATTTTGCGGCAACCGAAACTCCAGACTAGCTTGCCGTCGTCGTTCTGCGCCCATGAGGCCCCAATAGGTATCTTCCGGCCTGGAATCGCGAGGCGCCAGATCTCGTCGCGGACTTCACGAGGCAGGTCGAGGATGCGGAATGGCTTGTCCAATTGCGTGAAGTCTGACATGATGGTGGAGAGTTGAAGGACGTAGCTGTGTAGGATGAAAGAGTCGCGTCGAAAGAAGAAGAGCGGATCCGAGGTGGTGTACAAAACTTGGGTTGAGTCAGTGTGCGATAGTCGGGAGAGATGAGAGATTTGGGCACGAATTTTAGGGACACAAAAGCTGACGTCAGCATCACGAGACCGACGCGTCCGGAGCGCAACATTCACTCGCGAGATTCTTCACATGCTACTGTGCCTACGACACTTCCCCAACAGCCTAAAGCTTCCTTCATCTCACGAGATACATACGGCGGGTATAGACCACCCAGAATCCCCCACCCGACGATGTCTGTTACGAGCGAAGGCCTCCTCCGCCTCGAACAGCGCGCACCCAAGCGGAGGAAAGTTCAACTGAAACGAGTCAAGGAGGCTTCGTTCAAGCTTTGCATGTAGTAGTGAGAGGATGTGCACTGGAAAGTTCCATTTTGGTACGCTATAGACATATGCAACGTCTTCAAGGAAACGCTTCTGTGCCGTGGTCTCGCACCAAGTGCTACCAGGATGACCTTGTGAGAGTTCCCGTGGACGGTCGTGCACTGCATGAAAGTCAGCATGTACTCTGATATGCAGTTTCTTGTGGAGGTGAGCGGGTCGATGTCGTTGTCCGACCGTTCTTAGTGTGATTTTGGTTGTAGTTCATGCGGAAACCGTCGTTCTGGGTTTTGTGCATCATGAAGGGAGTAGATGGTAGAGGGATGGCATGGACGTACCCGAGTGAGGTTGATGGGTGATGAAGCAAACATTGCGAAAGAACGTCGAAAAGGTTGAAGGGGCGTTTGGGTCGGGAGGAGAGAGGCGGCAGCGGGGCTGTACTTTCGAGCTCTTCGCTGATGATGATGATGATGATGATGATGATGATGATGATGATGATGATGATCAGACGGGCCTACAGTTTCAACAATGTCAGCATCCTCGTTATCGCCCTGTCTCCAACCATCGTTATTCTCATTCCTCGCTCTTCAGTGGCCTTTGCTCTTGTTGATCATGTGGTCGGTAGCGGACTGCTGCCCACAATGACTCTCATTTCCTCTGTGCTGAATTTCTCATCACAGCGATGAAGTGCGGTCGTGATCGATGATACATACCCAGGTCACGTACGGGGTGAAGGCTGGGGGATGCGAGGTGAAGCTGTCAAACAAACTTCAGCGGAAACTCCCCGCGTAGTCTCTCATACTTGTTGATATTCAAAAAGGTTCGCAGCTCAGAGCCTTCTTTAGCAAAGATCATGTTCTGTCGCCCCACATGGTGATTTGTCTTGTTCATTTGGGTGCTAATTGTGCATCATTCGCGGGGAGGGTTGAATTGGCTATGCTTGTATACGTACCGAGCAATACAGAACGGTGCATCAATGCCCGTCCGTGGGGTGGGAGTGTTTTGTGCACAGTGCATCGCCTAAGGAAAAGCGGTCAGTCTAATGATCGTACTTCACATGAGAGCAGTCAAGGCGAAGGCCGACAAGGCCCGAGCCCGTATGCCCGAGGACTCTGCAACCAGTGCCTGCCATTACGAAGCAGTGCATGTTGGCCAATAGAGAGAGGCTTAACAGACGGGGCTCGTGGCGTACCTTTGACTGTATCGGGCTGAGTCCTGGTCGTGAACCAGATGTTGGAGACCAATGCATAGCAGAATCGGGCAACTGCTAGAGCAAGCAGACAGTAGTTGCTGGTCGGATCTTGCCCATGTTTTCGGCTTTTACGAATGCTCAGTGCTCGTTTGCTTCGCGGGCACGGCCGTGTATCCGGCTTGATCTGGAGCTGGGCAATCCTGGGCCGAACGACTAGTCGTGGTCGTCGCGCGAACGGTCTGCATGAGGGCATCCCACCCGCTTTCCTCGCCCAGACAATACACAAGTGCCTGCTTCTCTTAGTCCCGCTCTAGGAAGAATCCCGCATGGCCGGGCAGGACAACGCCGACAGCTCGCAAAGGCGTGTTCATGGTACCCTTGATGATGGAGTTGACTTCCTCCATGACGTCCACCATCCGATCGCAAGAGTGCCAGTTGAGTTCGGCGTTGGACAGCTCAATCTTGATGACGACATGCTCCAGGAAGAAGCGTGTGAGTAGGTCCTTGAGAATGCGGGTGATGAGGCGTCTGATGTCTGGCGACTCGATGGAAGCGATGGGGTTGTTGTCGCTACTTGACGCGAACTTGGTTCCATTGATGTGCACCATCATCAGGACTCGGGTCACATCGCCAGGAACCCAGGCAGCTTCCCTGAGGGCCCATCTGGAGAGCAGGTAGAGGTCATGAGCCGACCTTGGTCTGTGGTCGTATATGTGGGGGTGATGTAGGACCGCGATAGTGCTCTGAGCCTTCTGCACCGCCTCGTTGTATTCTGTGTTGATGCATCTGTTGGCAATCATCACGCCAGAATGGGAGGTGACGACCTGGGTGTGGACGTTGCAAACAGCAGTTTCATCGACGGCGACAATTTCGGCGTAGATCTGATCGCGAAGCTCACGAGGAAGGTCGCCGAAACCTACATACGCCAGATCTTGTCGCTCCATGGCTGTTGATCGCCGGGCGTGATGCTGCAGGATGGTGACCGCGATGTGTGTGACAAAGTGCACTTGGCCAGGTGGGGGCGATGTAGGTAACAAGAGCGGTTGGTGCGACGAGAAAGTCGGGGGTGGTGGTGTGGTGGGTGCAGAGAGAGCGCGAGGAGCAGATGAAGCTGCAGCTTCGCGGGGTGGCGTTTCAGGGGCAACCGGCCCGTCTGAAGCCGAGCGTGTCGGCTGAGATTCATGAGGTGAAGCCGCCTCCAATACTTGACTCGTTTGAACCTCCAACACCTCTGCAAAACAAGACTGATCGCAGCAAAAGCAGGACTTACCATGGAATCAGAGAGCGACAAGAAGATCAGGTTCCTTGATTTTCCTCGAGAGGTTCGTGATCATGTGTATAGCTACAGCGTCCGCGACAGCAATCAAGCGATCAAAGGCACAGGACGACGTCGCGAAGTCGCGACGAGCAGCGGCTTCATTGCGCTCAACTAGCAAGTTGCTCAAGAGTACCGCGAGGCATGTCGGCTGTATGATCCATCTCTTGTGCTGTAGTATGTCTCCTGGCGACTCGAACGCGACTCGTCGTCCAATGGTAATATAATCATAGCCACCTCGCCTTCGACAAAGACCTCCTCGAATGTTGGATGGTACCAATCATACGCATGCCAAATCACAGAACGCTTACTCTCAATGTCTCCATAGCGCCGATGTATTCAAGGAAGTGTCGTTAACGGCCCCGCGGGTACAAACGCTGACAAGCTCACTCTTGCTGGCGCCAGGTCAAACGCCAAGTTCGAATCACGCAACCCCCTTCCACTTCAAAAAGCAATTTCAATGACGTCGAATGGCCATATCGATGATGTGAATCGTTCACCACACGCTGTCACGTCTCTGATCATGAGCAAAGGTCCAAAAGGGAAGTTGAGCATCCTCATGGGGCAGCCATTGGGGTTGAGTCGAATTGGCTTGCGCATTCGTTATGACTTCAAACCCTGCAAAAAGCAACATCAACGATTTAATCTAACACCCACCAAAAAATCAAAAAGTCTGGTCTCGCACAGCGCGCTGCTGAGCTTCGATATGCCCTCTGAGCCGCGGATTCCGAGCCTGAGGGGCCGAATCCCCAGGTCTTTTGTCCAGCACCGCCAAGTGCCATGTCACGAAATCACAGAGAATACGTACCACTTCGCCATACGCTCTACCGCCTGAGCCATTTGTGTCATCGGCGTTGCCGGAATTGTTTCAAGTGAGGGGCATAGATTTTTTGGAACTATAGACACTCATTATTTGCTAACCGAGTTCACTAGCGCGTTTTCACCTCCTTCCAAGTTGCGACAGATGCCGGTGAGGTGATCAGGGCGAGCAGAAGATGCACAGTATATCTGCGCATCTGCGCATCATCATATTCACATGCCTTACCCACTTGACACAGAGCAGCGCTGTTCTCATCATATCTACATCATCGACGCCACTCGCTTCCACACGGTCATTTGGCCATTCGCAACACCATCAGTCCGCCCAGATCCAACTCCACCGCCAGCCTACCATCCGCGCTCTCGGTCGCCATCACGACACGCATCTCTGTCTCACGCCACCAGTATGCCCGTCAACCACCCCAACTACAAGCAGCAAGGACCTACACCCATCGTGGACATCACATCCGACGACAAAAGTCCGCGCCCAAGAACGCCATCCCAACGAGTCTATCGTAGTAACACCAATCGAGCCACGCCCTTCACTTATGCACGATACGAGGCCCAATCGATCAGTGCAGATCGATAAATTCGACGTGACGCGACTCACCGCACAAGGTCGAGCAGCCCGCGAGGAATGAGCTGGTTAGGGGGTGCCTGGAGATATTGGGAGAACTCGCTGGAGGAAAGGGGAGGGTGGGATTCTTTGGCAGCATGGATGGAAAGAGGATGGACATGGCGCGAGACAGCATGGATCGGGCTCGAGGCACGCGCAGACTCACCACAGCATCTTCCTTCACACCGCACTCCCGTCGCATGCCAAACCAACAACCCCGTTTCGTGCCTGAGGGGCCCATCAACAACATGACCGACTGGCATCTAGATGTCACCGGGCTTCTTTGCTTCGTCGATGAGAACGGCCAGTGTTTCCAAGACAACCAGGATCTGTGAGTGCTCCTGCGCAGTGCTATGTCTCATCAAGCTGATAAGCACAGTTGATGTTTCCATAACCTCGACACGGACGCCAGCGACATGTTCTGAAAAGAGGGCCCGGAGTTTGCACTGCAGCTCAATTTGATAATCAACAGCGCACGGAGAAGCTTATGTTCTTCAAGAACAATGCCTGAAGACGCTAAAGTCGTTCGTTCGGCTGCCCATTCAACCCTAATATCAAGGACATCTGACCTGCAACATGCGTTATGGCGTCTGGCGGACTCTCGCGCGTACTTGGGCGTGGGGATGAAGTCCATGGGCGATCTCCGATGCGCCACACGGTCCAGCACGAGCGATGGGCTTGTTTATCAGACGACTGCTGTAGGTCGCAACCCATGGAGCGATGAATCATGTCAACACATTGGCCGCAGAACCGGGCAATCCTAAATGACCGCTGTTATTTGAGCAGACTCTAGCAAGAGGAAGACTTCAAGATTGGACACGGAGTGAATTCGATGCAGCCGTGGCAAGCGGCGAGGGCGGTGGGATATGATCATCAGCAGAAATACATGGTCCGCAACAGTCAGTCAGACTGATGAATGTTTGATTGAATGATTGAACAAAATGGCCAATCTGTCAATCAATCAATCGTGGAGTAGCCAGTCAAACATGCTAAATTTTAGCCAATCAGTCAATCAAACATTTGATAGCGTCGGCTGGGCCGATTCGCCTAAAGCTAACGCAGATTTGACGCTACAGATGCCGGAAATTGGCTACCCGACGGGCCCTAGATCAAGCAATTTCTAATCAATCAATCAATCAAGCTTGGTGAACAGTCAGTCATCAATCAATTAATATTACTGATCGATCAGTCAGTCATCAATCAAATGTTAAGTATTCAGTCAATCACGTTAATTTGGGTCAATCAAACATTTGACTGACTGTTGCGGACACTGCAGAAATACTTCCACCCCATTGCGGACTGCAGAAGCCAGCCGCTGCTTGGCCCCACTGGGAAGCCGGATACGAGTTATGGCCAATGTTACGCCGCCACCGAACGCCAAACAGGCTAATGCTCTGCTCGTTGACTATTTTTCACACTGTCATTGACAAGGACAGCTGAGCTTCCACACCTGTCACCTTGCCAGGGCCGTAAAGAAGCAGTATACTGCAGACTTCACTTACCTGGCTCCTGGGGCTACAGAGGTGGGCAGCAAGATGTCTTCATTCGAGTCTGGAGCAATCGAGCAGTAGACTACCATCTCGAAAATCGAACAAACAGGAAATGTGCCCGATATGCGGATTCCCAAGGAAGAAGTTCCTGTTGTAGCACTGCCAAATGCCAGGAGCCGCACCGCCCGTACGGTTTTCAACCTTATGTTCGAGCCCTGTACGTGAAAGCTCCGCAAGGATCACGATCAACACATTGCCAGGCATACCTGCTATCTGGATGCCAAGACTCTCGCCAGCACTGGGCCAAACCTGCTTGCGAACCTCAACTGTCGTCGACGAATATCAGCATCTTCCGAGGCGACGACCCGTGGCCAGATGGAACCAGAACACGACTGAATTAATCTTCAGCGGCCATAGTCCTCCTACAATTTGGGGCGATCACGGCACCACATGTACTGCATTCCCGCGAACAACAGACGACGCTTGAGTTCTTGGAGCAAACGCATGTCAAATGTAGACTGTTCTTGAACTGGTCTAGGTTGCTTTCGATGTTCATGGGCACAAGAAGAGTCTGCTTGGCCACATATCCGGGGGAGACGAAGTGATGTCTGGTGGTGCCGACATTGAAGCATGCCACTTCTGGCGGAAAGGTCTGCCAGAGCGATTCCCGTCAACTACCCTCTGACCAACCAACCAACCCATCGTCACAGAAATGCTGAAGCCATGTTCAAGCTCACGAGATCACAGCAGAGATTACCGCACAGTCGCAAGGCTACCCCTCAATCTTCACACCGCCCTGCACCTCGCTTCTCCGCTCTGCACATCAATCAATCGACGCCAGGATATCTGAATCCGAACCACCGAAGTGCCTGAGAATGTTTGTGGCAGGAGAAAATTGATTGGGTCGACCAATCTCGGCCCTCCTCAAATCCCGGACTTGCATGAAGCCAAGGCTCGTCCCGCGGCGGCGATACGAGGTGCGTACCAGACTTCGTATTTGGAGAACTTCTTCCGTGTGGTATACGAAGGGGCAAAAAGACTCTCAAATGCCGTGAACATGCAGATATATCGCAGAATAATGCGACGGTGAGAGACCAGCGTTGTAAGACTATTTCACCAGACCTGAAGTCAAGATAAGCCTCCAACGTCCCCTGGGCAAGCTCGAACGCTATCCCACGCCAACCCCGAAGCCAAGATCCTCCAGAGCTCCCGAACAGGAAGCACGAAAGAGCGCTATCAAAGCCTACGACCCAAAGCGGCAATTCCAATGCCCAGAGTGGCGGCCATGTGGCAGCCCACTCGTGCTCGCGCTCCTCCACAATCCCTCGAGGCCGTAAATGCGGTCATCTGCTGCAGCACCTCGTTAGTCGCTGGAAAAAGTTCAATATGACGCACGGAGACCGAGGAACACTGTACGGCGTTTGGGAGTTTGCCATGCGAAAGACGTTCTGTTTGAGCATGGTTTCGGATTTGGTGTCGATGGTTCAGACGCTGAACCGCTGGCGTGAGCGTTTTTGCCCGGTTCGGATCCACGATCTGCGTCGCCGAGCAGCTGTACCGAAGTTCTGAAAGCCAAATCTCAATTTCTTCCACCAAAACGAACTGGTCTCGCCACTTGGCTTTTCGAGAGGTTCAAAATGCGAGCTTGCGAAGGACGGCGTGATGACTGCGCAGGCGATCAACCGGTGTGGCTCGAAGGAGGGAGGGTCGTATATCTGTTCTCTCTTCCCCGGCCTCCTGGTTCTGCTTTATGTCAGTGCTGCTCCACTCGTCGTACACCTGGATAGCTGCATCTTTCTTGAAAGCTCATCCCTGTTGCAGATGATCTTGTGACGAGCTCGACATCACCTCATACCTGCGATAAGACTTTTGAAGAGCTGGGCGAACCTTGAAGAGAAAGAAGGATATACCTGGGGTCGCAAGAACATATTCCACGCAAGCGCCGCAACCATGAGACTCTACATCGGCATCGCAGGCATCTTCGCCGTCCTCGCCGCCCTCGTCTCCGCAGCACCCAACTTCTCCTTCTCCTGGCTAAACTGGACTCGCCAATCCCACAACGTACAAGACGACTCCCAATCATGCATGACGCCAGCCGACGCCGACACCACCGCCGACATCTTCCGCCTTCTAATCCAAAACTACACCCACGACCTCGCTCTCAGCGCCCTGACCGAAGACTTCCACGACTGGGCTTCCTCGGTCAACATCATCATCAACAAAGGCGGCGCCGGGCCGAAGAGCATGGATGCGCCGACATTTGCGAGTAGAGCAGCTTTTATAGATGGCCAGGGAAAGCAGCCGCCGATACCGTTTGAGAAGATCAAGGTGTTCGCAGGGTGTCGGCATGTGGCCATGAGGTGGAAGACAGGGAGAAGTGCGAATGGTCACGGGACGGAGGTTGATGACATTGTAAGCGAGAAGAAGTTCGATTGAGCCATTGGATGAATGCTGATTTTGTGATAGCCCGTTCACGGAAACGTCATCATCGAAGTCGAACCTTCAGAGCCCGGAAACAAGTACAACTGGAGAATATCGAATATTTGGTCTGAGTTCAACTCGGCGGCTTGGTTGGTCAATCTGGGCGTGTTCAAGCCGGCAGGCATGCCTTTGGAGGCACAGGATGTGAAGCATCTGGAAGAGTTCGGGGACGAAGAGGCGGTTGCTGAGGAGCATTTGTTGGTGCAGCAGGATCCTTGAGAACTTGTTGGTTCAAGGCGTGTGGGGATACTCTCCGACTTTCCTAGGAATCTGTACAGCGATGGTAATCCAGGATAATCAAACGATGACGTTGGCTCAGCTGAACTGGGTTTGCTGGTGGCAGTCCACTCGAAGCGTACTATGCCAGAACAGCAGTCCGCGTTCAGAGCTCGTTCCGGGTGTACCGGCAGCAGATGAAGTTCAACTTCGAGCTCATTCTTGCCTTCTCAGCTCCTGCGTGCTTTGCAGACGTCTTTCATGAGAGATTTGCGTATCGTCTTCGGTCGCCAGCCACGGACATGGTTTCTCTTGCCGTCCTTCTGCTGTAGGCGTTCTCTCGCTGCATATGCTTCGTTGAGTAAACTCCGCGAAAACGCCCTTGAGGTGTCATCATCTTTCAAATTTTTTGAATCGACTTCCACAACATGTTCTAACAACTCAATGGCCAGCGCCGTGGCTTCCCGCCAGCCAGTCTGGAGATATGCCCGTGCAAGTTCCTGCTCTGAGGCAAGTCGGTAAGGATCGGACTCTGCTAGCGCTCGTGTCCGGATTGACACGACCTGCTGTAGGACTAACAGTGCTTTAAATACCGAAGGTGAGTCGCCCACCTGCATGTAAGCCCGTCCTAGCCAATGCATCGAGGTGAGTCGAGACAGGTCGTCTTCTACTAGCTTTTGCGACTCGATTTTCGTGACGTGCTCGAGGGTCACCACTGCTTTGGACAGCGAAGTTGAATCTCCAACCTGCAGGTAAGCCCGTCCTAGCCAATACATCGAGGTAAGTCGAGACGGGTCACCTTCTACTAGCTTTTGCGACTCGACTTTTGAGACCTGCTCCAAGAGCTTTACTGCCTTTGACACATCTTCTGGGTCGCCGACTTGCAGGTATGCCGTCGCAAGAATGTGCTCTGACATCAGCCTGTCCCAGTTGTTATGCTCTAGTCTTTGCGACAGAAGGTTCGTAACGTGCTCTAGCAGCTTCACTGCTTGTGATATTTCCGCTGTGTTGTCGTCCTTTAAGTACCCTTCGGCAAGGTAGCGCTGCGAGTGAAGTAGGTCCAGGTCGTGCTTTTCTAACGATTGTGCTTGGATCTCGACCACATGTTCAAGCATCCTCACTCCCTTCGATACCAACTGTTGACGACCGGACTCCAGATATATCAAGGCCACGTTTCGCTCCGGGCCCAATCGGGCCAAATTGTCCGATGGCATCATTCTTCGGGTCATTTCCACTGAATTGTCCAACAGCTGTATTGCCTGTGGAACGTTTTCTGGTTTGCCTTCGGTAAGATACGCCTCACCAAGGGTACACTGTGAATCCAGCAGTGTGGGTTCATCGTCTGAGAGTATACGAGCCTCGATTGCGACTAACCTTTCGAGCATTTGAACGGCTTCCGACACAAGATCATGCGCTTTACTCCTCAGATAGACAGCTGCTAATTCGCGCACTGCCTCGAAATGGGGAAATTCTGCTCCCCTTCGTATAGCGTCCACGTGCGGGGTGGGAGAGTCTTGCGCGAGCATGCATTGGCTCACTGCGGCTGCTCGCTCCAACATGGCCAATCCTTCCTCCCAGCGTCCGACCGATCTATAAACATCTGCAAGTAAGATTTCAGATCGTACTAGATCGATGTGATGCTCTGCAAGCACACTTCGGCGTTTTGCAACAACATTCTCGAGCAATTGGACCGCCTTCAGCTCCTGATGAATGTCGCACCAGGCCTCTGCCAAGTCATGATGCACCTCAAGTAAGTATTCATCGCCGTCGCTGAGTCCAATCAGTACTTCCTGGGATGTCTCGAGCCAATGTATAGCTTCTTCGGTTCTCCAGTCCGCGAGAAGAGATTTTCCCACCGAATGACATAATCGGGCTACTCCCTTGTCCTCTCTGCCATTGTAGTCGCGAAGTAGGCGTGCCGCGTGTGGGTGAAATGCACGCCAATCGGCACGATTCTGCCAAAGGGCGGGAGGAAAAACGGCCCCCATATGCGCCATCACTGCAGTGTGGATCACACTCGCCTCATCGTACGTTTGAACCCAGATCCGTGTGGCAAGGTGGACCAGACGGTGCATGTTGTATGTTTCTTGATGATTAGAGGATGTAAGAAACGAGTATGCACACAATGCCCCTATTGCAGAGGTCATCTGAGAATTGGAGCCCGCCTTTGGCAGCATGGGTAGCGGAATGTCCCGCCACTCCACACAAGAGATGAACTTCAGTAGATCGGCAGCAGTGGTATCTTGCTCCATGATTTGATTGAAGGATACGACCCAAGTTGTCGCTACGGCATGTCCGACTTGTTGATATCTCGTGCGATCTCTGTTCTCGATGCTCATTAGGTCGATCAAGTCCTGATCGGCGCCTTTCAGTAACTCTCGATACTTTCCTGGCGAGATTTTGTTCTTGTTCATGTACGCTGCGGCTTGCGTCATGGCAAGGGGCAAGCATTCCAGCTCTTCGCAGAGCGACTGCATTTCGGTTTGGTCGTTGATAGCATTGCAATGGAGAAGAGATTGGCTCATAAGACGTAGGGCTTCAACTTTTCCCAGTCGCTCGATTTCGATGGCGTCGCCACCGACCAAGTCCTGGACCACACGAGTACTTCTCGATGTGTAAAGCTTGAACCCGGTGTCGCTACCTGGAACACATTCAAGAAGCAAGTCTACGAGACTCTCGTCGTCGACGTTGTCGACTATCAGGAGCCAGCGTCCGAAGTCTCGATCTTCTAGATGGTGTTTCACAACGATCTTGATGTCTTCCTTGCTGTGGGACGAGGCTGTTAGCCTAAGTTGTCCGGCAATGTCAAGGAATGACTTCTCAACTGTGGCGTGGCTCAATGCGACAATCCAGAAAATGGACATGTCAGGTTGGGTCTTTGCAATCAAATTGGCAAAGGCGAGCGCGATCTGGGTCTTTCCTATGCCCCCAAGTCCATAGATTGCCAAGTCGTTACAGTCTTCGTCCAGGAAGAGTCGCTTCTGAAGCTCTTGGAGTATCTCGTCGCGGCCCACAAACTTGTAGTTCCTTTGAAACGGGAGGGACACGATTCGATTTTTCATGCCACTCCTGTCATTGACGGCCCCGATCTTGACAACTTCTGCCCTCGGCACCTCGCAAAGAAGCTGTTTGGCATATCCAGCAGCTGTCGCAGCGGCAAACTCTTGCCAGTTTTTGGTCTTGTGAACATCGGCGTAGTCACAAATCCCACGAATAACAAGGCTTGGGAAATTGTTCATCAGCCCGGCGGCCTCCATTTCAAAGCAGAGCACCCCGCCAAATTCTCTACTGACTTGGTCTCGTTCTGCTGCATGTCGCATGACTTGGTTGCCGGAAGCTATCGTGCCATAGTGAACCTCAACGTCCAGATTTGAACGTGGCGGCCTCTGTATGATCCGTGGTTCCGCGTCGTCCATCGCGACTTCGTATAGGATGTCGGTATCGACGGACGGCCGTGCAGACGTCGCTATATTCCCTTTCTCTAGCATATGAGAAGACGGTGCTCCAGGTGCGGAGCTGTGCTTCGCACGTATCATCGAAACAGCACTCAGTAGAATAGCCGGCGGAGCATTGAGGAAGCCAGTGCGTTCAAACCCGTTCGGTCTGGATTTTCCAAAGTCGTATTGTATGACACCACCGTATCCATTCACAGGCTGCCCTACAACGACATCCCCAAGTCGAATGTCATGCGCTTTGCTTGGGACACCTCCGCCGATGCCGACCATTAGGGCAAATCGCAAGCAGCCGAAGGATCGATGCATGTGCATGGCCACCGAGGCAGCTGAGTTGGTCCCGATCAATCCAGCCGGGAGACATGCAACAACGACATTGTGGTCATGTATACGCCCGTATGCGTATACGTTGGCATCTCCTGCTCTTGCGGGCAGAGGCTCGTGTCTTTCGTCGAGGACGGTTTGTGCGGCAGCGAGCTCGACCGGGAGGGCGCATATCCAGCCGACCGTGTAGTCCTCGTTGGAGAGTAGGATCGGCATGAAGCTCAAACGATGCTGTGAGCGATGGTCATGCTTGTACTGTGCGCATCCGGGCTGTGAAAGGCGACATGGAGGAAGCATGAGTTCGAAGAGTGAAGAAGGAGAAGAGGCCGCCCTCAGCTCAGGCTCTCGCGGGGGTTCTTGCAGTAGCGCTGGCGCCTCCTGAGACCTGAACGCTGCACAAAACGCCACAGCACACTTTCATTGGTCAATTGCAATAATGGAAAAGAAGAGTGTCCAGGAGTCTTGAATATCGTCCCAATGTCATTGACAGATTATTCTCCGAACAATAGCAACCAATTTCACCACTGTGGAGCCTCGCGCCGAGCTTTGGTCACCTGTGGAAGGTCAGCGTCATAAGTTGAGAATGAGACATTGAGTGCCTGACACAAACATACCACTGGGTCTTGGCTGAAGTACGGCAGAGAATCGAGCCAGACCAGAACCTCATGGCATGAACCTCATGATCTGTAAGCGTGTCACCGATCTTTCCCATGGGTCGCTCATTCTGGCCTCCAGCATCCCCAGACCACAGAATATCTCGACGGGACCTCTCCTCAATACCTCGACCTCCGCCCATCACTCCGACTTCTCCCACGAGCCTGTCTCTCCTCCCGCCGACGCCGAACCTCCTCCCGGTTCTTGCGTTCCTGTCTCTTCTTCTCGTACGCTGCACCCGTGGCCGCTTCTTTCTTTCCCTTGGCCTCCCTCTTTGGATTGCCGAACTTGAAGAGTGACCATATGACCGCTCCCATGAGGGCGACGAACGAGAGTCGCACTCCTTGGCCTCGGCGGTTTGGCATTTTGATGCGGTAGTGTGGTGCCGTGCGAGTGATTTGGATCTTGACTCGGTGTGATGCGGATGGCGGGTGTTGGGGGCGTGCGGTCACCGAAGGGATGCCTGGATGGTGAGGATGCTGATTTGGTGAGAAGCTGTTTGTGGTCGCGGGTGGCTTTTTGTGAGTAGTGTGTATCTTGATCTTGTATTTGGGCGGAGGAAGCAAATGTTCGGCAGGCAGTGGTATGTCGCTGCGATGTTGTGATTTCCAGAGAGATGTCGCGTGTGGTGGGTGTGGTGCGCTTTAAGTCCCGGTTCTAGCCGAGAAGCATGTGAAGCCTGGCGGTCTCTGCGCGGATTCACTGCGTCTCTCCCGAGATCTGCCACAAACCTCAATACTCTCTTCATATGTCGTACAAGATTTCGCATGGGCCTCACTGGATCTTCAAAGTTAATTCCGACGAGTAGGCTGTACGCCGCGCAGCCTATCCGCCGTGCCCGCCTTTTCGCTTTTCCCGGGCCCAGTCGAAGACTGCTGCTTTGAACTTTCTGAGGATTCCGGTATGAACTATATGTCTGTTAATATGTCCGTGCCCAGATTGATGACAACTTTCATATACTGGTCATGTTTCCTCGTTCATCGACTTGTCTATGTCCAGTTCACGAGGCGAGCCTGTTCCTTTCAGACAATCGCAGCAACACTAACGACCTTGATGTACTGCGGCCCCGCTACGGACAAAATGTGTGGATATGCATAGAAGGATAGATGTGGTATTGCTCATGGAGTATGTGCCTAAAGCATTAATGAGTATCGTCTTACGGATGTATACATCGAATCGCCTGTCAAATTCTCAACAGCTCTCCTCTGTTCAGAATGTCTTCTAGTGACGGCAGTATGAAGAGAGTGCTCCATTATCCCGGAAGTCGTTTCCCACACCAGACAGTTATTACCGCCGAGTAAAGTCTGCACAGTCTATGGCATCCAGTAACTCTTTCCAAAGGGCACCAATGCAGTTGGATGTTTGCTTTGACAGCGATATACCACTGATCATTGACACCGGTCGGATCACAATCCTGACCATGAGACTTGCACGACGTTCCTTAGGTCAATAGCGACACAAAATTATGAGTCTGTGTCTTACTAGTGAGCGATGCTGCTGATTGGTGTGGCGCTCGAACGACAGGTCAGGCGTTTCAGCAAAGACAGCAGATTTCTGGTTTGTTCCAGTCAGCTGGACCTCAGACATGCATAGATCAAACGACTTGTTATCATGCATTGTTTGGGGTTGTCTTGCGCCTACTCGTCGGCTTTGGGAACTTGCACTTCCAGTTCCGCAAAACTGCAATCACAGAGCTCTACTGCCAAATCTCGAGCGTGTGCCTTTTCGATCGGCTTCTCCCCTCGCATGCAATCTGGCACAATCGAGTAAAGCAGATTATACCTCATCTTTCCTGAACATCCTGTATCCCTGGACGGCGTAAGATCTCGCCGAGAGAAGCGAGTTCATTCACTTACACCAGACGCTAGTCTGCGCTAGTGCACCACGCAGCTTCCCCGCTTGCTTGGCGGGCGAACTTCCCACTAGCCGAGTTTTGCGAGCGTCAGCCAAAACTCTCACTCGTCATCTCCAGCAATAAACCGACGACCACGCCATCCACGCCATCACACCTTGTCAAAACACTACCTACCCATAATCAGTCATCAACCAACAGCGCCGCCATGTCTGCCCACGAGAAATTCTGGGACACACCGGAGCTGCTCGAAGAGATCCTCGTCCGTCTTGGTCGTAAAGACATTGTCCTCTCGATCCGTGTCTGCAAGCGCTTCCAAGTCGCCATCAATGCCTCAACCTCTCTCCAGAGCGCAGCATTCGGCGCTGGACTGGAGAGGCTCCTCCCATTATATCGCCAACTCTTCACATTCTCTTACCTCGAGGCCAGCGACCAGCTTCTCCTTATCGATGACATCACCCACCTGGGCGCAATCGACCGCAAGAACGGCTACTGGAAGGTCGGCCTCTCACTCGTCACCACCCTCACCTTGCCACGCCTTACACCGTCCGGAGAAGCGAAGCCAATATACATGATCGCGATGGCCAAGCAGCAACCAGGGCGCTCATATCTCTCTGAAGATGGCCAGGCCGTCTTTCGCAAGGAGATTGATGCCGCTTTTCCTTCTTCACCTGTCCCGGTTGACCTGGAGCTTGCCATCATCACCAACCGTCAGGTCGGGACGCAAGAAGACCCAGTCCAGCAAGTGGTCTACCGCGTTCTCGTCTCACTCAAGCCGGTCCCATTTGGTATTCTCTTCCACGTCTTGAAGGCGATCAAGCAAGCCCTTCAGTTGCCACACCGTCGCAAGGAGGGGAAGCTGAACCTCACCGCGGATTTTGCCAGTGTTGTTGGACTCGGCGCTGATCAGCTTACGTTCCTCCGTGATACGCCAACGTACGTGCAAGAGCACTGGAAGATCTGAGAATTTTGGGTTTTGGCCACAGCAGCCGAATTGAATTCTGTTTTGTGAGTGCTATGTTTATGGCGTTTGGAACACTCACTGACCCCTCAGGCAGGCAAAGAAGGCTTCGCCGTTTCAGAAACTGGTGCTGTCGAGATTGAGCAACTTCTTCGGGTCCAAATGTCAGCTGTGCCGGCGATCATGGTTGAATTGTTCAGCGCCGAATCGTATTTTTTTGATTTCTTTCGCTTCAACTATGCCCCACCCTGCGAAACACCGTCGTCGCTTCATCAGATAGCTCTGGTATACTTTGTCGAAATCCTTCTGGGTGGTGTGCCAGCTTATCCGTTGCAAAGTGTTCGCCATTCTACTCCAGCAACAAAGAACTTCCCAGGCCTCGAGAGACACGATCTTGCCTGCAAAGCCAGAGTCGCTCGTATGGCTCTATCGCAGCTTGGTCATGCACTAGGTGATATTCTCAAGACTGGATCTGGGGTCGAAGCGCAGTGAATGTTTTTGCTGAATGCTTCAATGCATTGAGGCGAGTCACCAGCACACGCTTTGTCACTCGGTGTTATGCGATTCAAGACCAACGCTATATAACACCTCGAATGCCACTTTTATAGACACATCAGATCTCCTGGTCTAGAAACACTCCAGCACCCTTACACCGGACTTTCAACGCACCTATTCAACAAACCCTCAGACCAACTCCAAGCAGAACTCGATCCGAGGCTTCAACGATATGTCGTCGTCCCGAACCATGCGCCCAGCAGAGAAGCGTGCGCGTCAAAGCGCTACACCCACCAACTCACCATCCGCTGACTCGATCTCCTCGCTGGCTCGGCCGATGAATCGCTCACTCAACTCATCGGCGATGCCCCCTTGCTCTGGACCTACCACCGACCTCGCGAAGCTCACTCTGCGTTTCCAGAGACTGAGCCTCAATCCACCTCGCGTCGTAACTCCTGTTCTCGGCAAGCGCAAGCGTGATGACGAGGACTACGAAGAGGAAGAGCATGTGTTGGCCGCTGCTCGAGTTCTCGGCATTCCCGAGCTGGTAGAGCAGGTCATGCTGAACCTCTCACCAGCCGAGATCCTCCTCACCCAAGCCTTTGCTCCGACCTTCCGGACTGTTTATCAAGACTCCAAGCAGCTCCAACTCAAGACTCTGGATCGATTGGACATCCCGCCCAAGATTTCTGTCCCCGCAGCAAGCACGCCTGCAAAGCTGAATCCGCTCCTCGTCGAACGCCACTATCACGACGATAACTTTCGAGTCGACGACTACGAGCTGAAGCGTCCTCAAGGAGTGCTCCGTTTCCTGATGACGGTACGCGAAGGCATCATGCCCTTGGCACGTTTGATATTCGATGAGGAGAGCAAGGGTCTCGAGGTTACCGACAAGAGCTCTTTGCTAAAGCAACACATCTACGACTCCGCCACGACGCTCAAGCTCAGCGTCTTCTGTGGAGCCGATGAGATTCAGAGGGAAGATGGTGGAATGTGGGAAGTGGACTTGCACGCCGAAGTCAACGTCAAGAACTGCCAGGTCGGCAAGCTGGTCCAGGTCGCTAAGAAGTTGAGAAGCGGGAGCGACTTCAGTTTCGTCCATAGCAAGAGGAACGGGCAGTCACCTTGGGGACCTTCGCACACCGCCAAGTTCCGCCTGACGAACATTGACCCGGAGTTGCTGGATGTCATTGTGGGCCAGGTCACGCTTCATGATCGCCTTGTTCGTCAGATCAGAGGTGGATGAGTAAGAGGAGTCCAGTCGGCGGTGAAGCGTGTAATGTTCAGATGCGGTGGCATAGAGAACAAGGAGAGTATTTGGGAGGTCGTTCGTGGATTTCGGAGTTCCACTGCGTTTGAAACTGCAGACCGAAGCTAGTGGCAACACAATGCTTTGATGGACGGGGGCTTTGTTATGGAAAAGGGAGGAAGGCCTGCTCTTTCTTTACGCAGATCAAAATGGCACAGATGAACCAACCAAAACTCCCATATATATGCATTAACAATATCGACCTGTTGACGCCAGTCAGAATGTCCCAGAAGCCTCATGTTCCGGACGTCTCCGTAGTAGTTGTATGGGGATCTCTTCTTCCATTACACCTTGTGACCCTCGCAAACATGATTATGGTCATCGGGTCTGGTGCTCAAAGTGACCTCGTGAAAAGTCGAGCCTGAGCGAAAAGTGGGTCATTGACGAGTGACGAGTCGTGACGGCAGCGGCGACAAACTCCAACAAAACTTGCTGCATCAAAACGTCAGACAGGTGCTATACCTCTCAACCAGAAACAGTCCCGCGTCATCGCCATGTCCTCAACGCAAGACGGCGCCCGGCCCAGGCGCCCGGCCCAGGAAGCGCCTTCGACCCAGCGAGACAATTCGTACAAACGCTGCTCCCACCGCCCTCCCAATGCCACAGCTTCCATGCCGTCTCGATGCCTCGAGTCTCTCGCACACGTTGTCAATCGACCACGTCAAGAACTCGACTCGTCCAATTACACTCACGACCTTGGGCAAGCGAGAACGCGACAATGAAGAAGAACAGTCGCCACCAGGACCAGAGCGCGTCTTCGGCATCCACGAGCTCGTCGATCAGATCCTCTTCTACATACCAGCCGGAGAGCTTTTGCGCTCGCAGTCTGTCAAGCGCATGTTCAAGACCGTGTACGAAGACTCAAAGCAACTCCAACTCAAGATATTCGAGCGAATTCACGGCAACTCTCGCCCTTGGCATCCCCTCGAAGTCAACCCGCTCCTTGTGAAATGGTCGCGCTGGAACGGTATCCGCAAGGAACGCGAGCACCGCATCGCTGTTTCGACCCTAGAGATCCCGCACATATTCTTCAGCGAGAGGGAAGCTGTGTTGCCTGTGTTATGGGTCACCTTCAAAGACGGCGTGGAGGCCGTCAAGATCGACCACTCTGAGTCTTGGTCGAGGCTGCACATCTACGATGCAGGTTTGCCCATCACGGTCGAAGTTCATTGCGGTCAGAGGATGGAAGAAGACATCAACGACCAGCCGCTGGTCTTGGACCTCGACGCCTCCGTAGATGTACGCAACTCTCCACTGGGCAAGCTGTTGGAGATCGCGAAGACCCTCAGACAGTTCGCTGACTTCACCTACCTCGACGACGAGGATTGTGTGGATGGAGACACTTCTGTCGATGTGAAGCAGGATGCCTCCTGGGTGGCGAGCGTGGACCCGGATCTGATGGAACTCATCGAGGACCATCTGAGGCTTTGGGTTCGTGTTGGGCAGATCATGCCCAGTCTCTAGCAAACTTCGACAGATGGTGGATATGGGCAGGAACAAGGCAAAGGGGCGGATGTAGGGACGATCGGTGGGACATCCAGGACTGTTAAACGGGGGCACAAATTGATGTACGGGAGGAGCATGGAGTGGAGATTCGAGCCCTGTTCGGCTGAGATTGAAGCAAGAGGCTTGGTGGGATGTGGACGTTTGCTTTGTCGAGGCCTGGAGTACCTTTGCACCAGGAATGAACTTTTTTGAAATTGAATAGTACCCCCTAGCATCAATGGCCTTTGTGTCCACGCTCAGTGTACGGAGACTCTTTGTTCGAGTCGCCGGAAACGGCAACCTTCACTCAAGCTGGATGCGAGCTGCCAAACCCGACACATTGTCATCCTTTAAAGGACCTCTACATCTGCGGTACACCCATCGAAGTCTCGGCTTGACATTGAGCTAGATTGTTAGGACGTGGTGGCGATGGCGAAGTGTCACGCTGGGAACGCCGAAAACTTTTCGAGGGAGCCCGGCAGCTCTTGGGACGATTGAAGAGACAGTACCGGTGCGGACTCGTCAGCAAGGATAGTAACAGTGAACAACATGGCTTTTTCGTCGAGATTGGACTTGAAAAACGTGAGACGAAGGTGCTTTCGAACGGCTTATCCGTATATGGAAATGATAGACACAACTCCACTCCACTCTCGACCTGCTTTTAGCCACCCATTCTGACTCTTGTGGCTCCTGTACCACCTATACGATTCGCTCTGACCTTTTGTCAGACTTCCTTGCCGTTTTCGGAGGTCACACCACAATCCCCAAACTTCCCCGTCTTACTCCGTCTCCTGTACAAATCCCCGACTGCTTTTAGCAACTCGTGGCCCACACTCGCGGTTACTCGAGTTCGTCTTCCTCTGATTATCCTAGTTCAGTTTTCTTGGGAACTGTTGTGTCACAATAGTGCAGCTCAGAAACGTCGCGGACTCTTCCATGGCATTGATGAGAGGTTGCTCTTCGGTGTCCGCCTCTATATCCATGAGTAGGTACTCCCACAGGTCGGCACAATACGCCGGAAGGGTGAAGAGGCGATTCACCAGGAACTCGTTGACTCTGCTGCACATGAGGAGAAGATACCCAATGTAAGACATAGTTTGATCCCACGAAACGATTGCACTCTTCTTGACTAGAAGCTTGCCGCTGTTCTCGCTTCTGGTCTCGGTGAACGCCAGGCGAACGTTAAGTGCAAACGCGGGGTCCGTGAGGTGCTGTTTGGTCCACGAGCCGATGTACGGTCGCAGCCAAGATGTATCGACTCGTTGATCGTTGAAGCGCAGACATAGCACAGGTGCTTCATCTGAGCTCATCGCGAAGAGCATTTCCTCGACACCGAGCGGTGCCTGCAACCTCCATACGAGAGTGTCTGGCCGACGGAGGACCGTGATCGGCGCGAGGGTGAAGAAGTTGGGATTCATGGCGAAGGGCAGGCGTGGTCTCCCGTTGTTGACAAGGTACTTGGGATACCGATACGGAAGAATCTTGCGGACCTTCTCAAAGGTTTTCAACTTCAATTGCTTGGAAGACCCGTAACAGTTTTTGAAAGTCCGGCAGATTCTCTGGCAAACCAGGATCGTGTTAGGTGGAAGATGGATGAGAATGTTCTCCAGCAGTTCAGTGGTGCCCAGAACGACTTCGCGAGCAGACAGCTCCGGAACCGAGTCGGTGTTGCTTTTGTCATCGCTCGACGCTCCCTGGATGTTGCTAACTGTAGCGTCTCTCATCGAGCCCAGAAAGGGAAACGCAACGCCTGGTGCCAACCATGACACCCCTGCAGGTCTGCTCTTCTTCGTGGCTTTGCTCGCGCATTTCTTGCGTTGGTAGAGTTCAGCTTCGGCCGTCGTCAATCCTTTCTTCGAGGAGGCCTTGTCGAGTTGAATGAAGATGTCATGGCCGAGTTGTATAGCAACATGGGATTGCGTGTGAAGGAAGCTCCGGATGGCGCGATTGGCTTTCTCCAGGACCAATGCGTCCACAGCGATAGGAAGGCAAACGATCAGAGAGGGTTTTGGGGCCCCAGTCTCTCCTTGACTGGACTGACGATCCACATCTCCGTTGACAAGTCGGCCGGCTGCTTCCTGACATGAAGTTCTCTTGATTGCTGCCACCGCTTCAAGGTGAACGATGTCGTCGCGTGTCTTGTGCGGGAGCCCTGGGCCAGTGATGCGCAGATTGTTGAACTGATCCGACAGCGTGTTCGGGTCCATAGTGGCTGCTTTCCTGCCATCCGAGACAGCAAGGTGCTCTCGTTGTCGTAGCTCCCTACGGCGGTGCAGCTGAGCTGCTGGCATGATCATGCTGTACTCGAGTCTACGCAACTCGCCGACACCTCGTTGTTGGTTCGAGGTGAAGAGCGACGTATTCCTCCCTCCATTCGACGACAAGAGATCCTTGATGGACTCCGTCCCGCCACCTTCAAGGTCCGTCATCCTGTCCCGGCAACGCCGTCCACTTCTTGTCTCGCAGATGTTTCTCGCAAGCCAGGTCTGCGTGTTCACTTTGTCAACGACGGTCTTGCAACCGCTATACTGCCGGAGGATGCTGATCTTACCAATGTGCGTGGCGTACTTGAGAAGACGAGGGACGTCAATTTGTCGTGTATGGAGCAGCAGGCTTTTGAGGTCGCGCCGTGGCGAGTGTGTCGCGGTTGGCTGTTTCCTGCCGATGTACGGATGGGCGGCGTCGCAGTTAGCGGAAAATGGGCGTTCTGGTGTTTAGATCGCGAGTTGTAACTTTCGCGGGCGCTTTGGTGTGTTTTGTGGGATGGAGTGCAGACATCGGGAGAAGAGGTGACGAGTCAAGATTTAAGGTTCCGCGAGCGCCCGCGCTAAGCCAACATTCACTAGCGCGCCAGTAACTTCCGCTTTTGGCGCACGTCACTGCCCGCAGTCGCCACGAAGATGGCAGTAAGCAGGGCGTAAGAAGCAAGCTTGTCAAGAGAGTAACAGACCTAAGACTGGCAGCTGGCTTTCCTCCACGCCTAATTATACTATACGTCCTACTTAAGTAACGTACTTGATAGGGAAGCTACGTAGACGGTAAAGCTGCGTACAAGCCTCGAATCCTCAATACTCTCGACTATCTACGTAACGCTACAGTAATACAGCTACCCTTACTATCGCTATCCTCGTTCTCGGGTACCTCCTCGATAATGTCCTCGATTTCCGGACTCGGAGAGGCGTTCCGCTTCCGTTTACGAGTT